GCCCCTCACGTCCACCTGAGCCGCTATGCACACAAAGCTTCCTCTGGCTGCTTCGGATTTCAGATGACTTTGACCTACTGTTTGATACTTGAATTTGCATTCAGAGTTGAACCCATGCTGAGATGAAGTGGTGTGTGCTGACAGAACAACCCAGCTTGCAATCGCCTGGACTTTGTCAGACCTATCTTCTATTCACACTGCATGCCCAGTGTGCTCAGTGGGCAGGCCTGGCTAGCAGGGGCTTCCGCTCATTGTGGGCCTTCAGGGACGTGGACTGATTGAAGCTGCACTTTGGGGTGGCTGTCCATCGTCATGCTCACCCCTGACCCTGGCAGGTCATTGCCAGACACTGTGGTGGAGGCAGAGAGAATGGCCTCCTGCACCAACTCTTGAGGCTCCACCTGGAAGTGCCAGATGCGCTTTGCCCTGAGACTTTGAAATCAGGGCAAGTCACATAGCACACTTCACCTCAAGAGAGAAGGGTGAGGCCCACCTGTGCCCTGGGAAGTGCTGGACCATCTGGTGGATGGCACTGTGTCCATGGCAATAGCTAGCCAAGTTTGGGCCTTCTGCTTGTCATTGGGAACAGCAGGAGAGCAGAGTGGCTGCTCTCTCCCTCACAAGGTGGGCAGACACAAGTGGCACGTAACACATGCTACCTAGAGGGAGTTCAGGTGCTCCGTGGTGAAGTTAGGGACCCAATCCCGGCAGTGGCATTCGGGGAAGGGTTCTCAGAAGTCCTAGCTGTTCATCTGACTATGGTGAGGCACCAGCCCGGCCAGGCTGGCGGAGGAGCAGCGTCTCGAGCAGGGGGAGGGCTTGAGCTGGATGGGAGGGTGTCCGGCTAAGCTGAGGAGTGCTGCTTTCCTTGAGGTGGCAGGGCTGCAGAGGAGAAGGTGACCAGGACTGTGGCCCTGGGGGTCTGGGGGTGTTGAGCGTGGCAGGACATGGGCCAGCTTATGCTCTGGAAGACATCTGGCTACAGTTTGGAGACTCAGTCAGACAAGCAGGGCGAGGAAGATGGCGTTGGCCTCTTCTCCAGCCTCACCCTGCATTAAAAATTTATTTCCAGTACTTCAGAAGATTTTAAAAATGGCTGTGATGTCGCAGGGTGGCCTGAGTTTAACGTACCCTAGGTTCCTTGGCTTGTGACTTCTGGCACCTCGCACTAGAAGCTCAGTCCCCTGGTCCCTGCCGACCACCTTCACAGGTCACTCTTGGCCCTAGTGAGGCTACTATGCAAGATGTCATTGAGTGCCAGACACCCCTCAGGGTTCTCCTGTGAAGTTGGAACTGCAGCTGCTCTTTCTGGTGTCCTTTTTCACTGGGTGCGTGGCACGTCACTTCTACCCCCATGAAAGAGGCTGGGTCCTTCTGTGACTCTTATGATTGGGTGACCCTGTCCTTTCTTTCGTTCACCCTGTTTGTTCCTAGCAGTCCCAGTGACAGGTCAGCTCCGTCTGGGGGAGGAATGGTTTGACGCTGTGACGAGTGCTCTGGTGGAAGCCAGGGAGGGCCCCCTTAGGGCGGTCAGGGAGGGCTCACCTGGCAGGTGACCTCGCAGCCGAAGCCTCGAAGGTGAGGAAGGGCGAGCTCGGGGAAGTGTTCAGAGCTGGCAGGTGACAGTGAGGCCCTGGGACACATTTGGAGAGGTTGGTGGGGCTGGGACTCACGGACCTGGTCTGACATGAGAGTTCAGGTTTAATTCTCAGCACAGTGAAATACATTTTTTTTTAAAAATCAGGTCTGAGGTATGATGAGAGTTACTTTTTTATTCCAGTGTTTATTTTAAAAGTTTCCTAACCTGCAGGAGAGCCACAAGATTAACATCCGTGTCCTGAAGTGTGGCTTAGACTCGCCAGTGGTTACACCCACCTCGTCTGCCTAACCTCCTTATTTACAGTTTTAATTTTGCTGCATCATTTCAGAATAAGCATAGACTCCAGGTCACTCTGGGCATAGAGCAAGCCCTGCTAAGAACTCCGGCAGGTACTCAGGGAAAGACACCCCACACATGAGCATCACACTCGGAAGAAGTGATGCACAGCTGTTGTCCAGCCTGAGCCCCTGCACACTTGCCGGGCAATGCCCTCTGTAGCTGGGAGTTCTGTCTTGTTCTTTTGGATCCAGCATTCAGTCAAGGGTCATGCGTGGTTTCTGGCTGCTTGAATGGCTCTTGTTCTTCAAGGCTTTCTCTCCGTGTGGCATTGAAAGTTGTTTTGCCCAAAGGTTGACGTGGACTTTTCTGATTGTTCCCCTGAGACTGGAGGCTGATTGTGCATTTTAAAAAAAATATTTCTTTAGTTGTAGGTGGACACATACCTTTGGTTTATTTATTTTTATGTGGTGCTGAGGATGGAACCCAGTGCCTCACACATGCTAGGCGAATGCTCTACTGTTGAGCCCCACTCTAGCCCCCTGATGGTGCATTTTTTATTATGGTTATGCTATGGAAGTGCCGTGTCCTCATGTCCCACCTCAGAGGGACATGATGTCAGTCCCCCATCCCCCTGACCCTGTGCCTGGTCCTGTTGAGTGTGGCCCCTGGGGAGGGTGGTGTCAGCCAGTCCATGGCAAGGCTGCTGGCCTGCCCTCTGTGTGTGGTGGGCAATCTGTGCAGAAAAGCCTGGACCTCTCCCTCGGTAGCTGCCCCAGAAGCCAGCAGTGCTCACCTAAGGCAGCCCTACATCAGTGGCGAGAACGGGAGTCCCTCGTCCAGTTTTCTTCCTCCCTTTGCCAGCTGTACCCTTCTCTACAGGGCTTTCCCTTCCCGCCCCTTGGCTTGGCTCAGTTTGTTACAAGTGGCCTCAAAGAATGACTTTTTGTCTCGTGGGTATCACCCATTCATGCTGTCTCTCCTGATGTTCAAATTATCCAGAATTTGGCGAGTGGGACCGTGGTCCTCGAACGTGCCCTGGGCTTTCTGCCCCTGCAGGATGCCCTGGGCTTAGCTTGTGCTGTCCCAGACCCAGCCCTGGAAGAATCAGCCGTTTCTCCAGGGAGCCTGATCATGGGTGGTCCATGGCCCCTGGAAACCAGATTAGGGCAGCGATAGTGGTGGTCATAGCTTCCTGGCTGACTTTGCCTCTAGGCCCGTTCCGTGGACAGAGCCAGGACCCTGATTGATCACTGGTTAGATAGCTGATCAATAGTTGAGAGCTGGTGCTGGCATCCGCGGCTTGGGAGAGTCAGCTGCCCCTCATGGCACGACGTGAAACCTGGCCCCTCCAGGGACCTTTCAGTGGGTCTATCTTCACTGTGCCGGGCTGCAGATGGGACCCAGGGCCGGTAGGTCCATCCTTCACCCAGGGTGGAACCAGGGCCTCTCATCACCTGGCTGCAGACTAGACCCAGTGCTGAGTCAGCGGACTCCACCTCCTGGCTCTCCTGCTGGTTCACGTTCCCAGGCTGTGCTAGGCCACACTTAGCACAGTGACCCAGAGCTGCGCCTCTCCCCACTAGGCAGGCCAGCCCCCCCGAAGGCCAGTCCTTCTGTCCCCCTGCTTCCCTGGCCTTCCCTCCCCTTCCCTGGGAAATGCAGCCCAGGGTAACGAGGCCAGCTGCAGCTCCATGGGCTCAGAGGCTCAGGGCACTCTCCTTGTGGGTCCATCCTGGGTGGGGTCCTTGCTTCACTGGGTGCTCATGCCCAGGCCGAAGGAAGCCTCTGGAGGACGGGGCTCTAAGCTCACCTGGTGGAGGAGAGGAGGGCATGGAGGCCGCAGACCACAGTCCACGGCCAGAAGCCAGTGCAGGGACCGAGCTTTGGGGTAGGAGAGCCTGAGCAGAAGGCAGGGGACTCCCCAGCCAGTGCCCTGTCTGCTTCCCTTGCTGCGGAGCATGCTGTGAGGTCACTGGGCCACAGCTGGATGAGGACGGTGTGTGAAGGAGCTCTACCTTGTTGTCATGGGCAGCTGCGGGCTCCCTCTTCACCGTCCCTCTAACTAGCTCTCCAGCCTAGGTCTGTGAAACCCTAACCCTTACGAGGAGGTGCTGGGCTGCTAGCCCCCCACACCTCCCTCTGCTGGAGATCTTAGTCTCCACAGGTTGCTGTGTGAGCGTGGAGCCTGGTGGCTTCCAGGCAGCATCTGGCTTGGCCTGTCACCTGCCTATCAGTCTCATGCTATGTGATCATTCCTCACTTGCTCACTGATTGACATGTGTCTCTGGACTTCTCCTGTGAAGCAGATGCGGCTATTGGGTGGCACACCCTCACCTCACCTTCCCGCACGAGCCCGTTTGGCTCTTTCTTGGCCACGCTGTGCTGTTGGTTTTTCTGTTTCAGGGATGGTCTTTCCTAGATGAGGGACTCCCAGATGGCATGTGCACCAGGTTCACAGGGACCTGGGAGCCCTGTGGGCTGGCTGTGCTATCTGCAGGACCAGTGTGCTCCAGGTGGCAGCTCTCAGGGCTGGCCTCTGGATTCCAGAGACCCCTGGGGAGGGTGAGAGGGTCTCACTGCTCATCCAGCCTGCCCGTGGTGTCCTCTCAGGGTGTCCTCTCCCTGTCCATCCAGGCTGCCCGTGGTTTCCCTTGGGCTCTTGCTCCTGTTCACGGTGGAAGCATCCCTGTTGCTCCTGGCAGTAGTAACTTCCTGTGGCTCCTGTGTGCATCCCAACCCTGAAGGCATCCTTTGCTTGCCGAGGTCAACTGGGTGAGAGGTCAGGGTGGGCAGGGGCCTGGCCCTGCTCCCTGCCCTCTCCTGTTTTGCACAAGTCCCTGCATCTTGTGAGGCAGCGTTATCTTTCTTGGGCCTTCAGATGCCCACGGGACAGCTCAGACCGTGGAAGGACTGATGGAAGGCAGTCGGTGGCTTCCAGACTGCACTGGGTCCTCTGGGCTCCTGCCTGCCCCTCCAGCCCTGCTCACTAGCCCTGCTGCTGCAGAAAGCGAGAAACGAGGAGTTACAAAGCTAATAATGTGAAAGCTGCGACTTGTGCTCAATAACCAGCCCCAAATGGCTTCCAAAGGAGCCTCTGAGGTTCTCCTGCTCTCTCCATCAGGCTTGTCCACCAAATGCGGTCACTGCGGTCCTCTACTGCAGCTCCGTAGCCGTGGTCTTCACCACCATCAAGCTGGTCAGCTACCGCCTGCACCTCATGTTCGATGAGGGAGAAGTGGTCCGGCTGCGACCCGTCCAGCAGAGAGAGGAGCCGGCCAGAGACCGAGAGGCCCGCAGCCAGCGCACCACCACTCCCAAGGACCCACGGTAACTTCCCGCGATCAGAGCGATCAGAGCGCCACAGCGGGCCCTGGACGGTTGCCACTGTAGGAAGAGGGTTCTCACCCACTGTCGTGCACAGTGTCCAGCAGAGCAGGGGGATGCGGTGTGCACTGTGCGTACCAACGGTGCACTCAAGCATGCGGGGGACCTCCTGTCAGGGGGCGTGGCTGTCCGGGGCAGTGGAGGGGGGCGTGGCTGCCCTAGTGCCTGGCCCTGCAGCACCCCCTGGGGTCACTGCTGCGGGGTCTCCTGCTCCAGGACTCCGTCCTGCCGCACAGATGCTCACACATGTCCATGTTTTAAGGAGCAGCGTTGGTGTCCTGCCAGGGTGCCCAGGTGACCATGCACTCATCACGGTCACCGTTCTGGTGTCAAACATTGTCCCAAAGCGTGTCTTATCACTTTAAAGCCACTTAAACAGGACACTGTGTACCAGGAAAGCGAGGAAAGGGCCCCGGGAAGAGGCAGCTTGAGCAGTCCTGGTAGGGCTGCCGACCTGCGTGGTCACCCGGCTGCTCTTGTACTTCTCTCCTTGGGTCAGCAGTGACCAGCAGACAGGCAGCGGCAGCGGCAAGAAGGAAGAGGTCCTGGGAAGTCTGGCCACGCCCCCACTGCGCTGCAGCTCCCGAGGGCAGAGCCTGCACTCACGTCACTCCTCAGGGCAATCGGCCAGTGTCCCCTCGCATCACTCCTCTGCCCAGTCGGTCAGTGTCCCCTCGGTTTCTGTCTCTTCCCATAGTTCCGGGTGGAACCCCTAGAATGTGAGTGTGCGGAGTGGTAGTGTCACCCTGAGTATTGCTGGCCCCCTGCCTGCACCTCTGGCTGCGGAAGTGGCCTGACTGTGCCATGGACTGTCAAACTCACAGCCCTTGGTTCAAAGCCCACCGCAGCCTCCTCCGCTGTCTGGCCCTTGCAGGGCACCCTGAAGCATAGGCCTTTGCTTTCTGCTCCCTTCTCCAGTCTGCTGCCCTTAGGTTGTGTTTTTGTGATGCCTTCACTTGGAATGAACTACACCTCCTACTGCTTTCCACTGTCATTCACACTGGTCTCTTGGAAAGTCAATAAGTCACTTTTTTTAGAGTAACTTCATTGGGATCTAGAACTAGGTATGAGGTGTGCTATACTTAATAATGAATTAGTATTCATTAGTATTAAGTAGGAATTAGTATATAATAAGTAATGAATTCCTTAAGAAGGAACAATAATGTTATTCCTTCTCCTTTTACTTTTTAATTAGCAGACCCCCTTTGTTACTGTACAGTTGCCTTGGTAGGATGCCAGCCCTTAGGGACATTGTGTATCCACCTGTCCTCCCTGTTTTATGGAAGCTTAAGGAGGGTGGACACTGAGGTGTCTCTTCCCTCTGTGCTGTTCAGAAACACAGTGGCCGCGTCAGCAGCCACTGCCTGGAAATGTGTGAGGAGCTGAGTTGCATATTGATTTTTGTTTTCTATTTGCTTAGGAGTTGCCAGTGCAGGAAACCGTGGACGGCCTCCAAGGTAGAGTACTGTCACTCTCAGCAGCTCATCTCGGCACTGTCTTCAGCACAGTGAAAAGCACCGCATGAAACAGAAGCCAGTGTGCTCCCTGGCAGGGAGGCTCACCAGGATGGTGCGGTGCTGTCGACTGCAGTCTGAACTTTCATGATTTCCCATCAGAACTTAGATTCCTGTCTATGCTCAATTGAGACATTTGATTGACGCTTTTCACTGTCGTTCCTGCCTGCTGGGCCTTGTTTTCGTGTGGCTGTATCAGTGGAGATGTCGTGGAAGACTTCCTCGGCTTCAGGGTTCTCAGTGTGGTGCTCATGCTAGAAGTGGTGGGAGAGACTCGGTAGCCTGATGCCTGCCTGCGTTTCTTTTAAGCTGCACATTTTGTTTTGGAGAACTTAATTTTAACCTAGAGATTTGTTTTACTTTTTTAACTAGAATTTAAAACGACATTTCTTTTCCATCCTTCATCTCCACTCCTTCATAGAGAAGGGAGGCTTTTGTCTGCATGGCTGCTGCTGAGATGCATGCGCTGTGGTCGGGTTGGAAAGCAAGTCAGGGGCACACGGTTCATAACAGGGTCCCTTCACATCCACTTTCACACACCCCTCTGTTCACATCAGGCCGCGCAGTCTTCCAGTCGGGGTGCTGTGCCTGTTGCCTGGTCCCCTTGCTCCTCTGAATGACGGCTCCTGCTGCGTGCCCCCACCTTTCCCATGGAGACCCTCCCTCTCTGCCCACACTGGGAATTGCAACAGAGGTTTCCACGTCATTCCGCCCCAGGTCAGCACGGGAAGTGTAGCGGTGGCTTCTAACTCACTTGGGAGCACCAGGTCAGGGTTTTCCCAGCATCCCTGCACTAAAGCACTGTGTCAAGTCTTCCTTGGTGCAGTCCTGTCAGACACCATGCTAGCACACAGCTCTGGCTGTTGGTAAAAGGCTCAGTGGCTTTCTGTCTTAGAATCTTATTGTGGTATAATTCATACACCACAAAGTTTACCATTTAATGTGTGCAGTTCAGTGGCTTTTAGTGCATCCAGAATTGCCTGTTCACTACCACAATAAATCTTAGAATAGCTTCATTACCTTAGAAGGAAACCCAGACCACTGAGCCGTCACCATTAGCCCCCTCTCCTCTAGTCAAAGGAGCCACCAGCCTGTTGTCCGTCTTGGTAGAGTTGTCTGTTCTGGACAGCTCAAGAAACAGAATCACAGAGCATGCGGTCGTTTGTGACTGGCTTCTTTCAACTGGCCTAATATTCTCAAGGGTCATCCATGCTGTGGCATGTATCCATTCCTTTTTACTGTGGAATAATATTCCTTGAAGTGGATTTGCCAAGTTTTATGTATCTGTTTTATCAGTTGATCAACATTTGGGTCACTCGAACTCTTTGGCTATTTGAATAATGCTGCCATGAACATTCATGGACAAGCATTTGTGTGGATGTCTGTCTTCATTTCTCTTGGGTGTCTACCTGGGTCTTTTGTAACTCAGTCTAGTCATGGGAGGAGCTGCCAGACTGGAAGAAAGTGTACCCTTTCCATCTCCATCCTTGGCGTCTGAGGTGATGGTGCGTCCTTGTCCTTGACAACACTTGTTATTATCTATCTCATGGCTGTGGAGTGGTGTCTCATTATGGCTTTGATTGGCATTTGTCCACCAACTAATAATAACATTCTCATCATTGTAATGATCTCTAGAGAAGTATACATTCAAGTCCTCTGCCCGCTTTTTAATTGGCTTATCTCAGCTGCTGAGCTGTGAGAGTCCTCTATGTGTTTGGGGTAGCAGTCCTTTCTCAGACATGATGTATGGTCTACAAATATTTTCTCCCATTCTTGGAGTTGTCTTGTCACTTTCTTAGTGGATCCTTTGAAGCCCAGAGTCTTTATTTTTCATAAAGTCCAGATTATTTCTTGCTTCTTCCATTGCTGGCGGGTGCTGTGTCTTGGTCACTATGACTGATTCTGAGGCCATAAAGACGTGTTCCTGGGTTACCTTCTGAGGACCTGGTAGCTTCAACTTCTGCATTAGTTCTGTGGTCCCCTCTGAGTTCTTTCTATGAGGGAGGGAAGGGCTGGCTCTGTTCTTTGGTACACGTCGTCCCAACACTGTTTGTTGACAATGCTCTTTCCTCACCGACACGCCTCAGGACCTCATGTGTTGAGAGTGTAGGTAAGGGTTAACGCTCCATCTACGTCTCTGTCCTTAGGGCCAGCACCACAGTATTTGGATTACTTTAGCTGTGTAATGGGCTATGAAATTGAGAAATGGAGGCTTCTCTCTTTTTTTTTCCAGACTATTTTAGCTTTTCTGGATTCCTCACATTTCCATGTGATCTATTAATTTCTGCATAAAGACAGACTGGGATTTTTTAAAGGACTGTGTTGAATCTGTAGCTGCAGAAATGCAGAGCGTATTCCCACCTTAGCATGTTCCTTGCCTTCTGCAATCACACAGTCTCTCTCCCATGTATTTGGATCTTTCTTTTAATGATGCTCTTTAGTCTTTAGTGCATGAGCATTGCATTTATTCTGTCTGACCTATTCCCGAGCACTTTATTATTCTAGATGCTATGACTAGAATTGTGTTCTTAGTTTTATTTCAGATTGTTCATTGCTAGTGTGGAAATATAATTGATTTTTTTACATAGATTGTTTTTTTTTTGGTACAAAGGGATGGAACCCAGGTCCTCACACATGCTAGGTAAATGCTCAACCCCTGAGCTACATCCGCAGCCCTTTTTATATTTTATCTTTATGCATGGTCCTGCTAAGTTGCTGAGGCTGGCCTTGAACTTGGGGTCACTTGTGGTCCTCCTGTCTCAGCCTCCTAAGTTGCTGGGATTACAGTTGTGCACCACTGTGCCCAGCCCTATACATTGATTTTTATATGCACACACTTCCTGAAATTCTTTATTAGGTCTAATAGTTTTTTTTGGTGGACTTCTTAGGACTTCTGTCTATAAGATGATGGTATCTGTGGAGACACTTTTCCTCTTCTCTTTCTGGCCTGGCTCTGGCTAGAGTTCCTAGGACCATGTTGATCAGAGGTGGTGAGCATGACCTCATGGTCTTGTTCCTACTTCATGGAACAAAGCTTCAGTCTCTCTTTTCAGTATGATGTTGGCTTTGAGTGTTTCCTAAAGGCCGTTGTCAGGTCTAGGATGTGCCCTGAGGATCCTAGATTGTGCTGTTATTGTGAAAGGTGTTGGATTTGGTCAAGTGCTTTTTCTGCATCTGTTGACAGGATCGTGCAGTTTCTGTCAGTGTCCTTCTGAGGCCTCTGTCTCAGTGACGTGGGCGTTTATGTCTACAGACCAGGAGGTCTAGGCAGCGGTTCTAATGGGAGGTTTCGCTTCCCAGGGACATGTGATGATGTCAGGGTCATCGCTGGCCCACCTGGGGGTAGAGTGCCACTGAGAGCAAGTGGGTGGAAGCCAGGAAGGTTGCACAGGACGGGTTCCTGCAGCACAGGGCCATCTAGTCTGAGATGCGGGCAGTGCGGGAATTCCTCATGTCTTAGGTGGACTACGCAACTCGCTCAAGGTGCCCAGCCAGATATGTTGGATGAGGCGCACGGCTCCGCTGGCCAGGGCCCAGTCCAGCCAGAGGCCACTCCTGTCAGGTGGACCTGCCCTGAGGTCGCTGTCACGCTCATTGAGGTATGAGAACCATGGCAGACATTTTAGGAGCGGTCACCTGTTGGAAGTGACGTTGCTAGAAATAAGCTCCTGTCACATCATTGTTATGCTGTCCTTGGTCTTGTCCTGTCCCTGGGTGCTCTCGCCCTGGGATGTCACCCACTCCCATACCCTGTGTTGTTTGCCCCAGGTGTCCTCCTCTTGGAAGCCCAACCCAGGGCACCAGCGTCATGCCCTGCACCAGGCGTCAAGATGGACAGCTCCCCTGTTTCTGAAGGGCACCGGCCCGAGCCCACCCCCAGGTCAGCACCACCAGTGAAGCCAGTCACTGCAGAAGCCCTCTTCCCCAGGCGAGGCCAGGCAGGAGGAGGCCAGGCGCGAGGAGGCCAGGCACAGCACCCGGCCCGCCACAGATCCGAGGGTGGCCTGGTGGACAGCGGAGCCCTGAGGAAGCTGCCGCCCCTGTCCCTATCCCAGTACGACCTTCTAGAAACAGACGTCTCCTTCCAGCCCTGGGGCAGCGAGAACTCAGTCCTGATTCCAGAACCCACGCACCGTCCACCGGGCTGCACAAGGGAGCCCCTGCAGAGCACATCCCCCCAGGGCAGCCTGAGCAGCAGCTGTCCTCAGTGCCACACGGTCACAGCCAAGCCTGCAGAGGAGCCGGGGGACACTTCCTGTCAGGTGGACCTGCCCCGCTCTGACAGTGAGGTCGCTGTCACACTCATCGACACTTCTCAGCCTGGGGACCCCCTGAGTCTGCACGAACCTATTAGAATTGTCATCACAATGAGCAGCACCCCGAACTCCATGACAGACTTGGAGAGCTCCCTGCACCTACAGGCAACGGGCACTCACAGGACCGGTCTCAGGTCTGACGCAGAGCCAGCTGCCCCAGGAGCGGACAGCCCGCTGAGCACCGAGCAGGTCAGAGTTCCCACCATCACCCTGGAACTCTCTGAGGACCGGGGAGGAGGCATCCCAGGTCCCCAGGGCCACAGGACTGAAGGGAGCCCCGAGGGATGGCAGGTGGAATCGTCTTCACATCAGTGTTCTGACTATGGATCCGGGGAGGGGGCCAGTGCCACCAGGGACTATAGTCCTGCCCAGAAGCCCACCTGGGAAACGGCCCCCACACTCCCACCTGATGCAGCCTCCCCGTCGGAGGGGGGCAGCGATGGCCAGGCCAGGCTGGACCCGTCCTCTTGTAAGAGACATGCCCGTGTGTTCAGTGTGGACAGTGGGACGGATGTCTTCCTGAGCAGACGCTCCACAGACGTGGCTGGCGACAAGGAGAAAACCATGCCGACCTCCAAATCCGACCTGGAGGCCAAAGAAGGTCAGATGCCCAACGAGTCCAGCTTCCTGGAGTTCGTCTCCCTCATAGAGTCCATCGGTACTGCCAAGGTGGCGGCCCCTGGACAGCCGAAGGGCCCGGCAGAGCAGAGTGGAGATGGCCGGCTTCCTGCAGGTGCGACCCGCCCCGCCCTCTGCGGGTGGCAGCACAGGAGGCAGTGTCTCGCCGTGCCGTCCACCCTGTGACCTGGCCTGGCATGTAGTGGGAAAGCTGTGGGGCAGCCGTAGGGCAGCAGTGGGTCCTTGGCTTTTCCATCAGTAGTGGTTGCGTGGGCCAACCCTATGCTGTAGTGAGCACGTTCCCGGGCCTGGGCTGGGAGGGCCTGGTCCCAAATGCTTGGGACCAGACTGTTGGCAGTTTGGGATTTTTTCAGATTTTGGAATATTTACTCATATACGTGAGACATCTCAGGGCAAAGACCCGAGTCTAAACACGACATCGTGTTTCTTTTGAGACACGGTGCAGGTCCACATAGGCCTCAGGCCCAGAGCCTGATGCCCATTGGTTGTGGTCTGTCACATGAGGCCAGGTGTGGATTTTTTCTCCTGTCCTGTTAGGTAGCTCAAGAAGTTTTGGATCTTGGAACATTTTGGATTTGGGATTTTCAGGTTAGAGATGCCCTACCTGCTGGGGTTACTTGACCAGGAGACATAAGCCATTACGGTGAATTTGGGGCTTTTCTAGAAGGCAAGAATATTTATTTCCAGGGGAATAAGCAGTGATATTTTACTGCGGTGATAAGAACTAGAATAGGTGTCTTTCCCATTATGGAAGAGATCACGGAAAAGTGGACCTTGAGGCCAGCTTCCCTTCCTCAAGTCCACGTTTCTTGCTGGATTTCACCTCCAAGTGCAGAGTCCCCGGTGAAGCCAACTTGCCATCCTGGTGCCACCAGAGCTCCTGCAGCTCTTCATTCATGCCCGGCCTGTTTCCCAGCAGGCTGTGTGCGTGCCCAGGGTCAGTACCTCAGGGAAGGCCTGGGAGGGATCCATCCTGTCTATGGAGCCCTGTGTGGGGTCCGTCCTGTCTGTGGTCATTGGCTGTCCTCATCTGCAGGTGTGGCTCAGGCCCACTGTCCCAAGTCAGTCTGATCCGTCTAGGGAGAGCGGGATCCAGGCAGGGTCCCAGGCAGCCTCCCTGTTCAGAAAGGGCCTCAGTTTCCTTATCAATAACACAATATGCTCAAATTTTTATGGAGCCTTTTAGCATTAAGCCTCCTCAGTTCTGTGCTGCTTGGAGCATATCATCCTGCAGACCCCGAGTCTGGCTGGTGCCTGTGTAACAGGCTGCTGTCTACGAGCTGTGCTTGCCCAGGTGACTCGTTTCCTTGGCTGTGGCTGCAGCACTTTTTCTTTGCCTCCGGCCTTTTGTGTCCTCGGGCCTCTGCCCACTACCTACTGGCAGCTCTGAGCAACTTCCTCCCATTCAACCAAATATTTCCTGAACGAGCGTAGTCAGTACATAAAAGTAGGGGTGACCCTTTGTGAAATGAGGCCTGATGGGGATCCTTGGTCCCAGGAATCTGGAGGCAGCTGAGCAGAGGTGGCACAGTCTATGTGACTGGTTGGGACCCTGTGTTCCATACTCTCTGGTTGCTCTTAGGTTGCAAAGGGAGACCTTAGGGACACTGCAGTTGCTGATCAGGTCCTGGCCACCTGGAGCTGACCACCACCCCATGCTCGGCTTCCAGGATACTCTGCAAGCAGTAGTGTCTGCCTTCCCACAAGCCTGACCTTTGGATGTCCTGATGGCTTCCTGGGCTGGTGCCTAGAGAGAGTATGCTCAATTCCTAGGCTAGGGGCCACAGATGGTGGGTCAGAGCCCTGTGTCTGTGTATATTGTCTGGTCATTGTCCCTTTGTAAATTCAGTCTCTTTACTTCTAGAAATTTCTAAGAAAGTAATCATCAAGGTATATAAAGATGTTAATGGAAGAATTGTCTCTAATTTAGAAAATCAAAACAACCCGATTTGCCATAATGATCTGGTTAAATATATCACACTGTATCAATGTAATATTACATAACTGCTGTTTTTGGATGATGTAGAAGAATATCTGGAATATTAAATATTGTAATGCATTAAGGTAATTACAATAGGTATAAGAGCATCTTTATTACTACTTCATTTCAGTAAAAAATATGTGTATTCTAGGAGAAAAAGACAGTGGGGTATGGGTGAAATGGGCCCTGGTGTAATTACCAGGATGGCAAGATCAGGAGTGATTTAAACTTTTATTTTTCTCTGGTTTTTATACAAAGTGAATGTGTAGCATTTTTTATAAACAGAAATATTCCTATAAATGTTTTTAAGGGTAAAGGAAAAAAGTCCATATGCTGATCTCACAAGGACCTATGGGAGACCCAGGTAGGACAGAGGTGGATGGAGGGGCTCCAGCAGGTGGAGGGAGCGCCATCTCCACAGGGCCTCTGGGGCTTTTCTGTGGCCCATCGCTGGCCACCACTGTTTCTGTGCTGGCCCTTCCTCTCGCAGGCCCTGCCTGATGGTCAGGAGCCTCCATCCTGACAGGAGCCACATCACATAGGGCTGGGAGGCTTGACTTCATAGAACCAGCAGCTTCCTCAGGGTGCTGGACGGCTGAGGGTTGGGGACTTGGTCATGTGTGTAGCAGCATCTTAATGCCCATGGATGGGTCTCTGTACAACCACTGTGGGCTGAGGACAGTTCACCTTGACGGGCGGGGTCTTCAGACGCCTCGGTCCTGATCTCTCAGGCCCAGGTCTAGAGGCTTCAGAGCCCACAGCTGGTATCTTTGGTCATAAAAAGACATTGGTCCTTTTGACCTTGAAAGTGACCATTAGGTGTGTTAACATAGGGCAAGGGCTGGCCCTGAGTGGCATTTTGCATAATAGCACAAGCTAAGGCCCTTGTTTTGGTCCATTGCTTAAAGAGGATTTGTAAAGTGCAGAGCCCAACCTGTGCCTGTCAACTTCAGAGATCTCACTTACCTTCACGCGGACTGTGGCCAGGAGCCGGGTCTCACTGTGCCCAGTGCTGAGCACAGGATGCAAAGTCAGCTGTGCCCACTGAATCAGGGGCCAGCTCAGCTTCAGCTCACGCCCTTCAATCTGGAGACTGGACAATGGTGAGAGGGACTTGCTGCAGAGGGTCAGGTGTGTTTAGGGACTGCGTTCACCTAGCTGTGCCCACAGAGTTCTCGGGCTGTGCTGTGAATGAGGGTCTCCACGTGGACAGGCGTGCTGCCGAGTTAGCCAAGGGCGTCCTGAATCCCGGTGTGAATGAAAGTGTTTGTGGTGTCTCTGAGGTATACTTCTGTTTTCATGTGTATTCAGGCGCTTTCTTACTGAGCAGAATAGAGATTTATTTAAAGCATCTGGAATTCAGAGGAGCTGCTTAGATTTCTTTCTACTCCAGTTCCTGTTTTCTCAGCCTATTCCCAGGGCCACCCCCTTAATGTCCTATTTTACAGGATAATGACACCCAGCAGTGTTTTCCAGATCATAGTGCCCAGGGGAGGAAGGAGGAAGACCTGGAGAGGGAGAAGCCCTGTGGTCAGGATTCCAAACCAGGACAGCCAGACTCTCAGCAACAGGACCATGCCAGCGCCAGCCCCGTGCCCGCTCAGCCTGCCAGGACCGCGGCCCTGTAAGTGCTTCCCTGGCGCATGGTGCAGGGCAGGAGGGCCCATTTCTTGGCTGCTTCTGTTAGTGGTTCCCTGAGGATGAGGAGGGATTCCTCATGGTTTTGACTTTTCTGCCTGTTAAGTTTCCAGGGCAATAGGCATAGGCAGATAATCTACAGGGTGACTTCCCAACAAGACAGTTCTGTTCTGCAAGTCATCAGTGGGCCTGAAACATCTGTGCAAGAGGAGATGTCTGTGGACGCCATGCATGTCTTCATTGATGGACATGGTGAGTCTCAGGGGGAGCAGGAAGGGTGGGGGTGGCAGCTTTCTCAGGGATTTGCACGGATGGTGGGACAGGTGGACCAACCTATGATTACCAAACAGTGTTCTTGGGAACCATGTGTTCTTTGTGCCTCAGGGTCTTTGCACTGCTTGCAATGTGCCTTTATCTATCACATTTTAATTCTAAGGTAAGTATCAAGAAAACCTTTCCTGAACTCCCCAGCCTTAACCAGGAGCAGCAGTTTCTGGCTCCCCCAATACCTTATTCTTTGCCTTATTTGCCAATATCACAGCCTGTAACTATTTATATACTTGTACTCATTTAATGAATGATGTGTTTGGTTGTAAACTCCTCAGGGCCTTGCCCAGGATCACGTATGTATTTATTGGATATATGTTGAGAATCTGCCCTTGGTATATTTTTTTTTCAGCACCTTCTTATAAAGAGGACTTAGTGGTATATGTAGAGAAACATAAGTGGCAAGTTCAAGGTTCCAAAGATAAGACACATGGGTGCTGGTTTTCCTGAGATGCACGTTGGCCAAGGTCCTCATGGACGAGCGAGGCTTGTTGTTTTGCTCTTAGAAGGGCCCTAGCTTGGAGGATGAGTTGAATGGCTGCCTTACGTAGTGCCATAGCTTATCACCCACGGCACTTCTGAAGTTGCAGAAATACAGACTCGTGTTGTGGAGAGCAGTAGCAGCACCCCCAGAGTCTCCAAGGGCTTGGCTGACCTTGACTTCTGCAGTGTGGAGCCGGGGTCCGCATCCCAGACGCTCACAGCACATGGGCTAATCGTGCCTCCTGGGCCTTCTAGGAGGAGGACTAGGGCGGTGCTCTAGGGAGAGGATTTGCATCAAGGCTGATTTTCACACCTCAGTACCCTGAGCCCTCTGGAAGAGCTAATTTAACTCTGCAGATGAATCCCGTCCCTTGCTTTCCTCATTAACAGGCTGACACCTAGGCAGCTGCTGAGGCACTTGCTCATCTGCATATTCAAAGGAAGGGCTGGTCTCATGTGGTCTGCCAATCAAAACTGCATGTTTAATAAGCCTGTTTTTGTGCACAGTACCTGTGTGTGTGTGTGTGTGTGTGTGTGTGTGTGTTTGTGTGTATGTGTCAGGGACAGAGAGAGAGATAGAGAGAGAGAGAGAGAGAGAGAGAGAGAGAGAGAGAGAAAACAGCCATTATAGCCTGGGCAAGATCAGGCTGGCACATGAAGGGAATACATGAACAGTGAATTAAGAGATTATTTGAATAAATTGATTAAAAACAGTAAAGAGCTAAGTAGTGAAGTGTACTGCTGAGGAGGTCTGGCAAAGAACATTTTTCTTTTGGACGTCATGCACCTTCTCATGATGCACGCTCTATGGCCCTGCAGTGTGCACAGTGGTCCCCAGGGTCCAACGTGAAGGCAGTAAGTTGCATGCAAACCCTCCTGCAACACACCTGGCTGACGTTTCCTGACTTTGCAGGGGAGGTCAGATCCTGTTATTTGAAGTCAGGGAATCAGAAGGAAGGCTCCCTCCAGCACCCACCATTGGACTCTGCCTGCGTCTCCCAAGCCCGGTGAGTGAGCCCTTGTTGGCAGGTCTGGGCTGTGACACCGCGGGGGGAGTGTGGAGCGGGTTAGAAGGAGGCATGGATGTTGGGGACATTGAGGCGTAGCTCTCGTACCAGAGAGGACCTGACCTCACAGAATAACCAGCGCAGAACAGAACTATTTTCATTACACCAAAAACTGAATGCAACGTGGAGGTTTAAACAGGGAGGAACCCCGTGGCAACAGAAGGGCTCCCTCAGGAAGCTGGTGGCCCCGTCGGGGAGTGCTGTGGAAGGGTAGGTGGCTCTTGATCCTGAGGAAGCGCTGCTCGGTGGCCGGCTTTCCTGAAACACCCTGCAGTGTGCAAACAGCTTTCCTAGTTACATGGGGCTGCACTGAGTTCACTGGCACGTCCAGGTCATGTGCGTGTCCATGTGTGCTGGGCTGCTGTCAAGCTGGTCAGCAGGACTGGACATGGGGTTCGCCCAGGCTCCATGATTCCCCTGGGACAATCTGGGTGGGCAGACCTCAGTCGCTGGCCCTGGGCATGCAGGTGAACCATGCGCATGTCTTTACAACTGTGCGCATTTCAGGATCTATGGGACCCCTGGTGACTTCAGTGTCTCAGGTGTCACACCTGGAGAGGAGAAGGGAACGTCACAGACCTCACTTCCAGCTCCTGGGGCCCCACACTCTTCCTGGGCGTGTGTGGGGATTCCTGGAGAGCCAGTGGGATCCTGGCGCAGCGACTGACCTGTCCCCACAGTGTGCCAGCTGCAGGGTGCTCTTCGACTTGGGAGCTCATCCCCACCCCAGCCCCTGCACTCTGCTCCAAGCCACCCGAGCCCCCCAGAGTCGCCCCCGGAAAGAACACTGTCCCCACTCCCGCTGGCCTTCCACTCCTTCCTCCTCTTCTCCAGAAAGCATGCTAAGTCTCCTCGCAAATGGAACCCCAGAGGAGAGGGAGGGTCGCTGTCCACCCCTCAGCTCCGGCCCCCAGCACCTCCTGTCGGGATGCTCTACCATGGCTGCTTGCTCAGACCCAAAAGTCAGCGCATAGAATACAGCTGTGGAGCTGGCCTGCTGTCCTCCCCTGGCCCCAAGGGTCTGCATGTCCCTCAGCTATCCTAGGGTACACGGAAGCCTACCATTCCACCCCAAAGTGAGGTGTGAAGACCTGCCAGCCCCACCCCAGAGAAACGACCTTCCACCTGATCCTGTGTGAAGACTTCAGCTGAAGTCTTCTAACCCAGCAACGTGGGTTAGAAGACAGCCGCACACCCAAAGCCTTGAGACACACGGACATGTGCAGACGGGATCAGAGGTGGGCCGTGGGTCTCCAGTATCCTTATGTCTTGAACGTGCGGCACCGAGGTGCCGCCCACTAACTGCCCCACCATCCTTCCTCACAAAGTCCTCCAGTGCCTCGACGTCTCCTTTCCAGAGGGGAGATCTCAGCTTAGCCTGCCCCCTTCCCAGAGATACATAGACTTTGCTTTGCCCCGAGGCTCGGGCTTAGTATAGGGCTTTGGGCGAGGTCAGGCTGCACAGTGCAGGGTGGGTAGCGGTGGGCCAGGGGAACGGCGCTCACTGCCCAGCTCTGTCCAGATGCACGGGACATCTGGGACCTGCTCTGTACCACACAGGAAGGACCCACCACCCCAGTCCCTTCCCTCCACTCAAGAAAGGCTCTGGGGACACCGGACCTGACACTTCTGGAGTGTGGATGCTGCTGTGGAGGAGTTCTTGCTCACGGGCCCCACAGGCCACCTGCTCTTCCTGCAGTGCTGAGGGTCTGGTCTTCAGGGTTCTGAGGAGCCGCCCGGCGCTGGCAGACATGAGGCCTAGAGACACACGGAGCCACTTCTGTGTGGAGCGGTCTTCAGGAATGCCCACCTCCACACAGCCTGGCCTCTGAAGGAGTCAGTGCCGAGGCCGGCAGCGGGACCATGAGGGTAGCGTGGCCACACAGCGCTCACCTGGTGTGGCAGAGGCAGCTGCTTCCTGTCTGACACAGGAGCATGAGCTCCAGCCCTTCACCTGGCAGCTACGGGGCTATGCCCAGTGGTTCTGGAAGGACGGTCACGAGCTGCCCTCTGTTCATGCTGTGCCTAGGAGCAGCCCTTCGGCGCTGCGAGGAGTGGGCTGCTGCTGTCCAACAGGCTCACTGTGGACATCCTGGGCTCGGACACCTCCCTAAGTCTGAGGCCTGGGAAGCTATGCCAGGCAGCGGCTGATTTCTGTGGGTCAGAAATCCTCAGGACTTTGTGGTGTGCTGAGTGTGACCTGGGTGTCTTCTAATGACTTCATGAAAGAAAAAGTGCTGGAAAAACAGGAGAAAAATGAACTAGCTGGTTCAGTTTAATGTCTTCAATTCCTGCTTGTCCCCAAGGGTGAGGGCCACCTCCTGGTCACTGTCTCCAACACTGTAGTGAAGAGTGACCCCCGCAGGGCCAGGCTAGTGGCTCAGGACCTGGGTGCATGGAGGGATGAGAGTGCCTGGGTTTTCCGGCGTTGTCTGCAGGAGTTGGAAACCCTCCTTTGCCATGAGCGTCTACTTGGTTTAATGCTGGTATTTTGAAATCTCTCAGACCACAGGTCACTTGTGTGTGTCTGGCCGGGCCCCTGGGCTGCTGTCAGCCTGCCCAGCACCCCTGCCCATCAACTTGCTCTCGGCCCTTCTTGCCAGCCCGTGCCCATGTCGAGATCCACATGGAGGCACCCGGTGCTCCCACTGCAGGGTCCTCCGGGTCTCCTTTGAAGTCCCCTTTGTCTCGCGCTCTGGCCTTCTCAGCCTTCAGACTCCAGTCACGGTTCTCCTCTTAGGCTCACTTTCCTTGCTGATTGTTCCTGGGAAAACAAAACCGTCTCTTAAGTTGCTCATGGAAGTCTTACCCTTCTCCCCGGTAGGTTCCCACTGCTCCACCTCGAGGTCCTGCTGGGCTGGCGTGTCCCTGTAGCCCATTCTGGGTCCTCCAGGCAGGTATTCAGCAGATGCTGCCCTGAGGCTCACCGCATGATGGACAGACATGGCCCAGGCGGGGCTCTAGCTGGTGCTGAGGGGCTGCGGGGAGAGGCTGGACAGGAGTGAAGTGCCCGGAGGACCCCCACTCTTGTCCTTGATGCAGCAGAAACAGCTTGGCTTCTTTGCATAAAGACACTACCCTGTTCAAGTAGGACCCTCAGCTTCCAGCTCCTTGCCTGGAGTGGTGGGAGGCACAGCGTGACCTGTGGCCTGGTCGGCACACTGGAGTGTGGAATGTGGTCCTCTCCTCTGGGAGTGGGAAACCAAAGAACGAGTCATCTTGAGCCTCTCTGCACAGAACTCAGGTGTCCCAGGCCTGTGTCCTGTTGAGCAAGTTGGCAGCCAGGGAAACCCGGCCCCGGGACTCGACGTGCTTGACGGAAGAGGCTCAGTGTTTCAGCGCCTCTTGCCTCGGCCTGGCATGGAGTGAGCTGTAGCACTGCTGTTAAGTTTTTATTTGACATGGTTCAGTTGCTTAGCCATTTAAGCATCTGTTTTCTATCTTTTAAATAGAGGGAAACCCTCCACAATTAATTCACTGGGGTGCTTTAAAGGCTGGGAGAGGATATGCGGTACTCAAGACAGTCCCACCACGAAGGGCACTTGGTCAGTTCCAGCCGGTTGCTGCCAACTCTGGCTGGAAGTGGCCGGATGGTGGCTGAAGGTTGCTGGGACATCACCCAGTAAGAGGTCCTGGCTTCTGGCCAGGAGGAAACCTTTTTCTTGGTGCTCTCCTGGTCACTTGGTGTGGGCTGTCAGGTGGGCAACCCCAGTGTCCTCCCTGCTGGCCTGCTGAGGTCCAGCATCCTGGTGTCAGTGGCATTTTGCAGCAGGCATTTTGGTGTTGTGCCCCCAGTTCCCATGTCACTCAGTTTTGAGACCTCCTGCCACAGTAACATAAACCTTGATCTCGAACTTGGAAGTCTGCCTGGTTGGGGCTGTCTCTAAGCCATTTGGCCATGGAAGGTACTAGAAAAGCAGTCTTTTCCCTGTAATGTGACCCTAATGGCTGGGATGGCCTCCAACTAGGCCATTAAGCCCTGACCCAGTGCTGGCAAGAAACCCGCTGTTCTTCGCTGTCGCTAAGCCTGTTGCCATGAGAGTCTTAGGTCCCGACTCCCAAGTATGAATAGGGAATTGTTAGCAGTGTAGCTCTGAGTCTCCTGGGGACGTCTGGAGGAAGCCAGGAGAGGAAGCTCACTTCCCTGCCTGGCCCACTGTGCCCATGGGAAGCAGTGCTTTCCGGCTGTGCAGTAGCTGCCAGAGCGCAGGTGCCCTGAGCAGTGCTGCTTCCTCAGGAGTGGGGACAGGGACCCTCGACTGGAACCCCAGCATTTAGAACTGCTGCTTGGAAAAGCTGCTGGTGGCTGACCCAGCCCAGCGTTCCGTGTCCTTGCCAAGTGGCTCCTCTGAGTGGGCTGGAATAGTTCACTGCGGAGTGGACTTTTGCAGTTAGTGCCCAACAGTGTCTGTTCTTTGTTCAGCTGAAAGTTGGACTTGTTGTGCCTAGAAGTTCTTCAGTGCGACAGAGCAGAGCTTTCTTCTCTGAGAGATCTGTATCTCAGTGCGAGTCCAGTTCTCCTAGCGTGGTCAGCAGGCTAATGCAGATACATACACAACGCCTGTGCTCCGCAGCTGATGCAGAGACGCGGGACTCACCGTCATTTTGAGGACACGCAACTCCTACAGTGGGCATAGCAGTCTATGGGATGGGAGAATCCTCTGGAACAGATCAGTTTATAGCATCGCTATTGGGGAGTTTTGTACCAAAGATGGCACCTCAACAGAATAGTTCACAATGTATTATCTAAATTAAATTATTCCTGGCTTTTACAGTTTCTGAATCCATCTAGCACACATCAAAGCGGGTGTTATTCAGCTTATAAGTCAGGTTTGATTTCATGGCTGCCCTCAGTCTCTAGGCCCCCTGTGTACCTTCTGCTGAGGGTGGGTTGAGGCCTGGTCTTAGCCTTCGTGCTTCTCCGGTTCTCATGCTTCTCTGGTTCTCATGCTTTTGTTGACAACACTCATCCTCCCTGACCCTTATCTCAACAAAACCACCCTTACTTGCTGGGACAAACTCTGGAGTTGCCCCTGCAGTCAGGAGGGTTATGCAGTCGGCTCTGAAGACGGGAATTGACGTCCCCGGAATTGATTCAGAAGAGATGGTGGCTGGGTTTGAACAGGCATGAGGAGGTGGGGCCCCGCAGGGAGTAAGGTGTTCAAAACAGAGAGGAGGTGGTGTTTGGGGTGCAGTGCAGGTCCACGCAGGTGCGGCTGGAAGCGCTGGCCTCTGGTCACAGCATCCAGACCGTGAGTGTGGGCTGGTGTGGCTGTGTGGATGACAGCCTGTGTGCTGCTTCACATTGAAGGACACCTGGGGTTCTCGGTGCCCTGGTTCTCAGAGCAGAAGGCACACCTGAAACAGGCAGCTTCTGTCCTCCCACATCCTGCTCCCTCATTTCTGAACCTTCACTCTCGATCCTTCCCCTGCCCTTATTCTGGTTTCTTAGCCATACTGGGAAGAGGTCACACTTTCCGCCAGGGCTGGGGCTGGAAGGTTCCCAGGTCCTGCCAGGGAGGAGGCCCTGCTGCAGTGCACCTGGTGGCCACACGGGGGCAGTAGGACCCCGTGCTGCAGAGCTGCCTGCCTTCCCCATGGCCGCTGCCTGGGGACTCAGGCAGGCCCCTCTGTCCTTGCCAGGAGAGCTGCTGCCCGGTGGACAGGCGTCCCTGTGAGCATTTGCAGGCCTGGGCTGCAGCTTGAGACAGAGCTTCTGGACTCCAACCTCCTCCACGAGGGGTGGTGAGCGGGTTGCGCTGACTCACCTCTAGGCCATCTCTCTGGGCACCCTATCCCCAGGAGTTATGGAAAACAAGGAGGGACAGGAGCAAGAGGGGCCTCTGGGCTAGGAGGCTGTCATTTTAAATCTGAAAACTAGCATTTCAGATTTTCCCTATCCATGGGAAAGCGGAGACGCGACCTGTGTGCTTTGCTGTTTGTGTGCTGGCCACGGCTCAGATGGGTAAACACGGGCGTCTATGTGGTGCAGTATCAATTCTAGAGCCACCTTTGTCCACATGAGAATGTACTGGCCCAGCCTCGATCAACTCTAGCCTGCAATCTCTGCTCCTCCCACAGGCTCTCCATGCACCCCCATTTCTACTGCTACGAGAGCTCACACTGGTCTCCAGAAGCTTATCTCTGCCACCACCCTGCACAGAACTAGTTTGCCAGAGACTAAGCAGAGAGCCGGTCGATGGGGACCAGTTGCACCGCATGTCGCATATTGTACTTCAGAAACCTCCCTTGCAGGCGAGGCTACTTCCCTTCCCTCTGCAGGGTTGAGGGGGGAAGCCATCCTTGACACAGTGCCCTGCACATTATGCTGTGAGTGTGGGAGGAAGTGTCGGCTCTAGCTGGTATCCACTGCCCTTGGATGAGAGGGGAGCAGCCCCGAGAATCTAAGGGGTTATGTGTAAAGGACGTTGACCTGGGAGCAATTCAGTGGACTCCTGCTACCTGTCTATAGTGACTCTGATGACATCATAGTCTGCTGGGAACTGGCATGAGCAGACTGGTGCCCATTGGTCAGTGGGTTACAACCACATGAGCAGGACCCTGGAGAAGTGCACTCAACTGAGGCCAGGGATCTCCTCCGCTTGAGCAGTACGGAGCCTGCCCTCCTGGCCCCACGGGAAGCCCTGGGGTGAAGACTGTGGCCCAAAGTACTCAGAGGACAGCGCTTCACCTGGGCTTCTCTGGAACACTCAACTCCTGTAGAGGTGGTTTCTTCAGAGGGGACCTAACCTGCTGTTTGAGTCTATACGATAAAGAATTAGATGCGCATCAAGGGTAAGCCCTTCTTCCTCATTCTTGCCAACAGAGATGCCTGCAGTGCACATGTCATGTGCAAAGGTCCAGAGGTAATGCTGTTCTCCAATATGAGAACAAGAAGCATCTGTCCACATGTGCTGTTGATAGCTCTCACAGCCATGTTACTGAGGAGCTGCCTGCTGCCGGAGAGCGACACGCATCCAGTCACAGCAAGCAGCAGAGCAATCGTCGACCCACAACTCTGGTCAATTTTAGAGTTCACCCACAGGACTTTGCGGAGGAAACCAAACCCTGGACCCTTAAATTGCACATTTACGTGGCTTCGCAAGAAACCCACATAGTAGTATTATTATCATTATTATTACTGTTGCGCAATTGGAGGTGACCTAGTGACGTGGAAGGGTGCAGCTGATGGGCACCTGCTCTTGTCCTGGCTCCTGGCAGGACGCTCTGCAGGCCTGGCCCCAGCCAGTGCTCTCTCAGGCCCTCACCCTGGGGGTGCCCGTCAGCATAGCCTGGCGCCCTGCTCTTGGCCCAGAGCAGGCAAGTGCTCCCACTGCTGCTGCCTGCCCAGCCCAGGGCAGCCAGGTTGGTCTGTGGTTTCTGCGAGGTTCTGACCCTGCTGAGGAGAGGTGCCAGCACACAGAGTTGTGTGACGGTGGCGGCCCCAGGCGGTTTCTGTGCAGTGCAGCCAGCTCAGTGAGCATGGCTCTGGTCTTCTCTGGTCCCCTGCATGGCAGATGCAGCCCTCGCGGGGACACAGAGAGGCTGCAGAAGGAGCCGTTGTGTAGCTGGCGATGGGGCAGGGTGCAGGAGCCCGTGGACTCCGGCCCTACTCGCTTCTCTTTGAGGAAGGCTCCACCAAATGTGTCATGTCCATGGTACAGAGAAGCCCCTGAGTCTGTGAGCACGGCCTTGTCTGTCAGGAGCAGCACCTGTCGGTCTTAATCACACAGCACGTGGCTTGTGAGTCACAGGTGCTTCATCTCTGTGGCTTCTGGCTCAGAGGTCTGCGTAGTGCCGTTTGGACTGCAGGTAACACAAGACTTGATCCAAAACGGGTTCAGCAGTGAGGAGCCACGATAAATCAGAAAGCCAGACGCCCAAAGGTGTGGTCAGGCCAAGGCTATTGACTCAGAGGCTCCTCACTGTCATCAGAAAGCCAGTTTGTCTCTGCCTGCAGTCTTGGGCTAGTGCCTCATGGTGGCAATGTGACTGCTGTAGCTCCAGGTGTTTCTTACTCACATAGCCTCTAAAAGCCAGGAGAAAAGCAGTTCCTAACTGTTGTGACATTTTAAGAACTATAAAAATTTACCCATGAATTTCCCTATATCTAGGCGACTCCTTCTTGCTCCATGATGACTTTTTAGGATTGTATTATATTCCCAGTCCAAAGCCAAGCACTGGCCAGATGAGTGACAGAGGTGTTCATAATTGACCCCAGGTCCAGGGAAGGACATAGTCTTGGATGGTTGAATAGAAGGGGGTTATGTTGTAGGAGTCCTGTTAGAAATGACCCCTGGATAGGCTGCCAGTATCGACTCCTAAGAGTCACGGGCATCCGGCTGGAGATCAGATGGGGGGTCTTGGTTTTGCTTTCTGAATGGAAGGGGAAATGCCAGGATTAAGACTGCTTAACGCACCCATTAACCCTGCCCATCCACCTGTTAGACACAGTACAGCTATTGAGACACGGGTCACAACTCCCTTCGTAATGCCCCCTTTTCAATGGCCAGTGGCATTTCTTGTCTGTAATTTGAACTTTTCTTGCAGTGGCATGTTGGGGTGATGCAGAAGAGTGTGGGGTACAGAGAAGCTGCAGTGGAGCCCATTGCTGCTTCTCGCTTGTTGGGGTCTGGGGACTCACCAGCCCACTGTTCATTGTATTCACAGTAGATGAGCCTAGAACCCGAAGCAATCCATACATAGAAATCTGAGCTTGTCACCTCCAGAACACCCGTGCCCACCCCAATGGCACGCTGCCCCTCTGAGCAGCCTGGATGATCTCTGCGTGTGCGGGGCTGGCCTTGTGCCCCCAGGGGGCACGCATGTGTAACTGGGGACGCTCAGCTGCTCACACTGGCTGTCAGGGCCCCTGTGCTCCTGTCGTGGGCATCCCTAGTGTCTACAAGTCTGTGTGTAATGAACAGATGCCTCTGGCTCCCGCGGGTAACCACAGCTGCTGTTCTTTCCATCCTCAGGGAGATTCAGACCATTCAGACCAGCTCCTCCAGCACCACTACTTCCGAGAGCCCAGACCCGTCCTCGGGGGACCCTGCCGTCAGCGCCCTGCAACAGCAGCTGCTCCTCATGGTGGCCCGCAGGACCCAGTCAGAGACGCCCCGGGTATGCACGGTGCGGGGTTACTGTTTGTGGGTGCTCTAGAAGCTCTGAGCCCTGGTTCCAGGGCATAGTCAGTTCCCACCGAGTCCCATGTCCCTGGTGAATTGTAGATGCATCTGTGATGCTTGGCAGTCCAGAGAATGGATGGGACAGCAGGTGACCTTCCATCGACACTAAAAGGATTGTCACCATCTCACTGGCTTTTCCAAATGCATTAGAAATTCATTTGCATTGATCTCGGTTGCTAGGATGCACAGGTCCCACAAGAACTCATGGGCTAGTTTGCCTTTCCCCCCATGGTTTTTAAAACATCTGTGTTTTTAAAAAATGATAACCTTGTGTTATACTAAATATTCAAAAATCCCTAGGTATTTGACTTGAAGAGAGATGTTATTCTTGGGGCAGGTGATGTCAGAGGTCTAGCACCTGAAGCCTTCCCTTATTTTCCCAAGAGAAACCTCATTGACATCCGACCCTCCTGCAGCCAAGCTCCAGTGGGATCTGGAAGGCAGCTAGGCCTGTGACGGTGGCATTGCTACTATTTTCACACAGATATTGTGAAAGCCAAGCAGCTCCTTGCTCCTAAACTGATCAACTCTGTAAGAGCTGTCATGACAGGCGTGGCCCAGGACTGCTGTTGTGGGTCAGTGCCAGGTTGGCACTCCCGTAACCCTTCACAGCTTTCTTCTTTATGAGAATGTATAAGAACGGTGGCATCAACCAGTGGCACAGTCACCAGGCGAGAGGGGCACAGGGTTCGTAATACCTGAAGGTATTCACCTTCCCTTGTGACTCCTCTACTTCCTGGTGAGCCTTTCAAGGGGACAGCGAGCCTCTGCAGGAGGCTCATGACTCAGTGTACCTGTGCCCTATAGGCTCCATCTCCGAACGTGTGTGTCCCAGCCTTGTCGTGCCAGCCTCGCCTGGTTGGTGTCTCTGGTCCCTTGGCCTTGCTCACCTGCACTGCGCCCTTCCCCAGCTGCTCAGCAGGCTTGCTCGGGTGCTGTGCCAGGTCCCCTTCTGTCTGGTGTCACCTGGGCTCCATGGGAACCCTTGGCAACACGGGGGGGGGGGGGCACGGGGTCCTGTACTGGGGCATTGGCGGACCTTTTCCGGGCTCTCGTGTCCCTGTCAGAGTCGGGCTCCAGTCCTTGTCTCACCCTCTGCCCTGAGCTCTCCCAGCCCACTCCGGCACCAGGGTCCCCACCAGCCACCTTTTCAGCGGGGCTGTGTCTGCTGGGAGCTGCTCTTGCGGCCTCTGCTCTCCTCTCCCCTGGCTTCTCTTTCCACCCTCAGGCGACTCCTACCAAGGACCTGGGAAACCACCCCAGGTCCGCAAAGGAGGCCTGCAGTTCAAGTTCATCCGCGCCTCCTCTGACCCAGGGGAGGGTCCGCGGAGGCAGTCTCGTCCCCCTTCCACACAGTAGACCTCCACGTGTTGGCTTTACAGCGCACGGTCTGTCTCCGCAGCCACAAGCCTGATTGTAGATCTGTTGTAAGTAACACGCTGCTGTGATCCAGGGTCCCTCTGGGCGCATCTGCCTCCATGCTGGACTGCAGGTGGCATTGCTGTTGCTGTCTGTCTTCAGCTGTCTGTCCGGGTCTCTTCCAATGTGTGCCTTCCACCTGGCTTCACCACGGACCCCTGCGCGCTGCCTCTCGAGCTCTGTCTTGCTGGAAGAGGTTTCACATGGCCGACGAGATGGCAGCTGCGGCCATGGGTTCACTTGGGTCACTGGAGGAGCTGCGCTATGGCTTCGGGCCGAGTGGGGCCTCCACAGTTAAAGTGGAGGTGGTAATGCAGTGCCTGGAAGAGTGGTGTGGGCTGTGACGGGGACTTCCGTCGTTGGTAGCGATACCCACAGGGTCAGAATCCTTCCTACTTCTCTGGAACTCACCCAGGCGGGTCGTTCTGAACAGGAGGGGTTCCAGGTGGCATGGGGGTGTCTTCTATGTCCCCAGGTCTTTCACTTGCACGACATGTCCCGATGTGCGCGTCGGCGGCGCTGTTGTGGACAAGGTTGCTCTTCTCCCCCCAGAAACTTCCAACCCTAAGAAGGAACTCTTTTGAGATCCTCTCGATTTCTACAATCTGCACAATAAACATCTACTAACTGAGCGAACCAGTGATATTAAGATGATGAGAAAATTTGGATTCGAATTTGAATTTTGTACCAGAAAGTAGGCGAAGAATAATTTTTATGATTCGCCAAAACATAAAGCTCTTGATTTCCTTGGTATCTAAGGCAAAAGAATTGAAATTCTAGGAATATTATTTTCCATAAAAGAAATCACATTATTTTTTCTTTCCATTACATTCAGAGATGTTTTAAAACAAAAATGTTTATTAAGGCAGCAATAAACAGCTCAGCCAATCAGAATGTTCATTAAAGCAGCAATAAACTGCTCAGCCAATCAGAATGCTCATTAAGGCTCAGCCAATCAGAATACTCCTAAGGCAGCAGTAAACAGCTCAGCCAATCAGGACCGTCAAGTTGTACAAAAGGTGCGGACATCGTTCTCGCGAGACCCTTTCCTTGCCTGCCCAGGGCCTGGGTGCCCCACTGAGCCCGGGCTGGGGGTCCCTCTCTCACCTCAGGAAGAACACACGTGGCCATGCACTTGTCACCCTGACCCTCTACGTGAGGCACTGGTCCCTCTTCTCAGGGACACGCGCCAGGCACCTGTGCCCTGGGGTCTCTCTTGCACCGGGCTCCAGGAGCTGTGCAGGGGAGGTGTGCTGCGGACCCCGAGCCCCTGGTGGGCAGTCACAGCTGGTCCTGTACCGGGCCCTCCTGCTGCTGAGGGCGACCTGTCAGCGCGTTGCCCTCCTATGGGTGGGCCTCCCTGTGTTACACTGGAATCAGCCCAGTCAGGAGGTGGTGGTGGGGACAGGAGAGGTTCCCAAACCTGCTTCCTGGTGGAGTTCTGCAGGCCCTCAGAGGAAGTGGCTGTGTCACCCTGAGGCCACGCCACAGCTGGCCCCCTCCTTCCTCCCCTTTGCCCTTCTGTTCAGTCCCTGTGCCTTCTCTGTGAGCCCACAGGAATGAGAGCTGGCCTCAAATCCATTCTGAAAACACAGAGAGAGCAACAAATATAATCATGGCTTGGGGGACCCAGTGGGTGCTTTCCCAAGAATTGAGATCCCCCACCTGGAAAAGGTGCCTGCACACCACTGCCGTGGCAGCACTGTTCCCATAACTGAAAGGTGCAGCCGGTGACTGAGACATGGTGTATGTGCAAATGGATATTATTCAGCCCGGAAGAGGAAGGAACTCCCAGGCTTGCTGTGACATGATGAACCTCAAGGTGCTGAGTGAAATTGGTCACAGAAGTGTTGATACAGCTGGGCTTCCTTACCCGGGGTTCCAGAGCTGTTCATCCACAGTACCACAGAGGTGGCCAAGGCTGTGGGAGAGGAGGCTGCCGAGTTGTTTGGTGAATACAGGAAGAGAAGGTTCTGGAACTCTCTTGCACCATGTGAGCAGGCAGTAGACACACTTAAAAATGGTCACAGTGATTGATTTAATTATATATATATATATATCCACAATTTAACATTCATACAGAAATAGAAGACCTGCAGGGGCTGGGGCACCCACGGAAGGCACCCACAGACGGCACCCAGGGAAGGCTGCCATAGAAGGCACACACAGAAGGCTCCCACGGAAGGCACCTACAGAAAACTCGGGTGCTGTGAGTGTGACAAGTAGTGACCTCACTGCAAGGGTGACAAAGCCGGTGTCCTCTGCCAGGCTCCACACCCAGGAGCAGGAGGCAGAGCGTGGTGGGGTCCAGCAGCAGCCTCCCGTCACCTAGACTGCTGAGCACCCTGCAGTCACAGTGCCACAGAGGCACTTGGTGAAAACTCCTCCTCAGTCTACAGGTGGGTAGAGGGTGGACACCTGTCCTCAGACTCCATGAGCACACTATACCTGCAGGAAGTTTTGCAGCTTTAGCCACACCACGAGGATGGTTGAGGGTCCAGGTTGTTGAAGGATTCATTCTGAAGGGTGCTACACCTTGTGCTTCCTGGTGCCTGGTGGGGACAATGACCTGGGAAGCTGCGAGCTATATGAGAAAGTGGGAATCAGAGTGGCAAGGCCAGCAGAGGGCGGGAGCAACCCTCCCCCAAACCTGGAGCCAGGAAGCTGGACAGGTGGAACAAAGCGGAGGGGGGAGCGAACACATAACTGAGGAGCAAGTCTGCAAAAGCTGCAGATGCAGAAATGAAAACACAAGGAAGGAAATAAACACACAGGACTTAACAGGAAGTCAGACCCGGGAGCAGGGCCTGGAGACTGGAGGTTAGACCTGAAGAAGGTGCTGCAAAGGGGCAGACGGAAGGAGGATCAGAGCGTGTAAGGAAGAGAAGGTGGGAGTTGCCCAGGATGGTGTGGCTCGCCCAGCCCTCGTCAGAGACAGAGGAGGGGAGAGGAAGTAAGAGGCGGGCAGGGACTAGGACAGCACCAGCCTCAGCCAGCAGGACGCCAGCAGCCTCCTAGTACCTAGGATGAGGAGGACCCTTCCCCTGTGGGGAATACGAGGGACCCCAGTCTTACGCGGCATGGTCAGACAAATTCCTGGTGGACCAGCGACTTTGACGTGAAAGGCAAAACCGCACGAGTTTAATAAAGATGATGTGATCAAGGGTACCTCCACCCTCAGGGTGCAGGGGTCACGAGTTAAGCCCCAGGGTGCAGACCCTCCGCACAGCCCAGGAACAGCATGGATCATGTTGCACCTCTATCAGGAACTTCTGCTTGTCCAGAATATCATCAAGGAGTGACAACACATCTCAGTCTGGGAACGTGTTTGTGGGACATGATGAATTAAGGTCTTGACCATGCACAGATCATGTGCACACACGCATGCATACATACCAGAGGCCAGCAGGTCACTCCGGAGAGAAACGGGCCAATGATTTCATGAAGAGAAAAAGTTACCACAGATGTTCAGCTTTATTAGTAAAGAGGGAAATGCAAATTAGGATTAAAATCAAATGCTATGTTCCACTTACCTGGTTGGCAGAAATGAGAAGACCGCCTAGCACTATTAAACGTCTGTGAGGACGTGGGCCACACACCCCTGCAGACGGCTTGTGGGGATGTAGACCAGCAGGACCCCTCAGAAAGCACTTGGTGTCACTGGGCAGATGGGGCATCTTTGTGACCAGCATCCCATCCTGGCAGATGTGTGCACTTCCTGGAAAGCCACTGAGTTCCTAGCGAAGGTGGACATCTGTGTTCCCACAATTCCATTCACAGGTGCATATTTTTAAGAAATTATTATACTTTTGTACTGAGAGACATGTCCAAGGACATTCATAGCAGCCAAAAAGAAAATTAAAAGAAATTCAAAACCCTATGTGTTCCCGAGGAGAATGCAGAAGTAAACCATCCATACAGTAGAATATTACGCAACAGTTACAATGAACATTTCAGCTACCAAGCCCAGTTGGATCCACCTGGGAACGTGATATTGAGTGGAAAGAGAAGCAGGTAGCAAGTCATGACTTAACATCTGTGAACTTTAGCACATCAACCTGAGCAGGGTACAAGTTCTGGAAATAGGAGTGCTAAAAGAAGAGAAGGAAGGGGTGATAACTCAGAACAGCTGCTCTCTGTGGTGGGGAAGAAAGTGGTGGGGTTTGGGGAATGGACCCCAGTGAGCCTCAGTGCTATTGGTGATGTTTCTTTCCTGTTCTGGGCAATAGATGGTCAACAAATGCTTTTAATGTATGTGTTTGCTTCTATTTAATATTTAATTAGCATACTTTTAAAAGTGTGGTCACTATGATTATTTAGTGTAGAGAAACGGCCTCCGCAGGGCAGAGTCCTGTTGATGAGCAGCACAGCATGAGAGCTGCTCATGGCCTGGGGCACGAGAAAGCATCCAGGTGGCTGTCCCAGGGTGGATCCAGCAGCAGAGGAGGTGAAGTGGCCTGGTTTTGGAGCACGCGGTGGCAGAGACCAGGGTTAATACCAGATCACTCTCTAAAATGGCAGCCGTTGGCTTTCTGGGCAATTGGGCTGGTGGCACCTGCCTCTCTCCACTGGTGATGAACAGTGTGGTGGCTGCTCCGTCCGCCACACTTACTTGTGAGTGCGAGCTGTGGGCATGCCGGGCATTGGGCTTTCTGGCCACCCGCTCTGAATGCCGGGCCACGTGCTGGCAGAGGGCAGGCTTGGCATTTCCCCTGCAGGATCCTCCTCCTGTTTTCTGTGTTTTCCTGCCCACCCCTGGGCTCCACTCCATCCGGGTCCCTGTGCTCCCCACAGCAGAGTCCTGCTCTCCCTGACGGGGTGTGGTCCCCCAGAGCTGGTTTGCATCTGTCCTGAGCCTGCCATGTTCTCAGAGTCCTCCTCCCAGCCTGGCCAGGCTCTGTGGAGTCCCTCATTAAGGACTGGATAGACAATCAAATATGACCCCCACTTTTTTAAAAAAAATTGAATTATTTCCCACAGGATTCGAGTGAATCAGGGTTGAAGCCTACAGTCTGGCTCTCAGTCCCCCTGTGGTCCAGACTTCCTGGCTTAGATTTGTTTCAGCAACTGTTTCAGGTTTTGCCACAGCGAGTTTCAGTGACCTTGACGGCATCCGTCGGCACTTCTTTGCTTGTAGTAAGATGTGGATGTTTATTTCAGCACTGCATCAGTACATGCTTTTAGAAGTTAAGTCGTTTGGGATCTTCACCTTCAGGGGGACTCATTTCAGGGAGCGGGGATGCTCTGATGGACGAGCAGCAGTTTGGGGGACATGATAGGGTGGAGCTGGGGTGTGTTGCTCAATGCATTTTGCCTACTGCTGTTCTCTCAGGGTGTCCCATTTCAGACTTTGGGCACTTGTTCTTCAGCGATGGTGTCTGTGACAATGGCTCCCCTCTGTGAAACCTCTCTCCGTCATTTCTTTTGGTATATAAAGCACGTGAGTCCAGATCTGGAAAACTCGTCATGTTCTTCAGCACAAGGAAAATTTAACCGAGAGCAGTTTTACAAGTTTATCATTTTCCCCGGCAAGTGGATCAAAGTCTGGTACGACCGACTCACCTTGCTGGCGTTGCTTGATCGGTAAGCCCCCGGCATGGTGGGTAAGCCCCCCGGCATGGTGGGTGAGCCCCTGGCACATGTGGTTAGCCGGAAGCCTCAGTGGGGCAGTAGCATGCACTTGCATGGTTTTAGAAGATGCTGCTTGTCAAGGCTCCCCAGAATGTTGCCACGCTGTGCCCCCTTAGCTGGGAACCCAGGCCCGAGGCCATGAGACCCAACAACTTAAAACATGGACTATAGCCATCACAGTGGAAGGAGTGAGGACTAGGGGCATAGTTTGGGTTTCAGGCAAGCTTGAGGACAGATGGTGCTTTGGTCTGCTTGTGTCATGGTCATCCTTCCTGGGACAGCTTTGGCATCACCTGCAGCACAGGGCCTTGCCTGGCTCTGTGGCCCTGGGGAGAGGAGGAGGGTGGTGCCTCGCGCTGCCCTGTGATGTGCACTAACCCCAACACCAGCTCCTCCAAACCCTGCTCCCCCTCCTCCTGTCGCCCCTCCCCCGGGATCAGATACCGAGTGGCTGGGGCTGAGCCGGGGGTGGGGTGCGGGTTGGGGTTGGTCAGGGCTTGATGGGGAGGGCTGGGCAGGGGCTTGTGCTTTGTGCCCCCTGCTTCAGGATGCACAGAGGGCTCTCCTGTGGTCCCCAGGGCTGTGGCTGTGCCAGAGGTTGGTCCAAGAACTGACAACGCTGTTACTAACGCCATTGTGGCAAATGCTGTTCCGTGGCTCAGTGCCATCCTGTGGGTGACCGCCAGGCTGCCTTGCAGCTGCTGGACCCCCGGGGACAACTTGTTATGGGAATGTTACAGCAATGCCCTAAACTGTGTGATTGCATTGCAAAAAAACGACAGTCTTGCAAAATTACAACAGTAAATTTCCAGACCCACCAGTCAGGGAATGGAGTTCTAATGGCTTTGCCAGCAACGCTATGTCACTCAAGGGGCACATGGAAGGGGGACTGGAATGCTTAAGTAATAATCCGAGAGCGTACATTCTGTTAGATGAGGCATTCTTTTAAATATTAATTTTTTTTTGTTAAAAAAGAATCATTGGGAGTTGGAGTAGCTTGTGTTAACCCTTCATGTTAAAAACAAATCCAAGCTGGGTGCAGTGACCTATGCCTGTAATCCCAGTGACTCAGGAGGCTGAGGCAGGAGGATGGCAAGTTAAGGCCAGCCTCAGAAACTTAAAAAGGGCTGGGGATGTAGTTCAGGAGTAAACCACCCTTGGGTTAGGTCCCAGTCCAAAAATCCTGAATCTACATGGTGACAAAACAGCCAGCTGAAGGACGTTCTGGGAATGGAGACTCTGGAGAAGATGAGATGTGACCATCGCGGGGTGAGGCGCGAGGGAGGACAGCTGGAGTACCCAGGTCCAGGGCTCGCAGCACCATAGGGTGTGTTTGGTCATCGTTGACCTGTCAAGACCCGCAGAACGCACAGCACCAAGAATGAATCCTGGTGGGAACTGACTTGGGGCCAGTGTGCACTTTAGGGTCTTGGGTCCAGGTGCACGTCCCACTCCGGAGGGAGTGTGGCTGGGCAGTGGTATGTGCCTGCGGTGGGGGGCAACGCTGTCCTCTCTCCTCAATTGTGCAGTGAAGTTAAACTACCTCTAAAAACAAAGCCTATTCATTTAAAAATGCCCGTGACTGTTCATACCCCAGCACAAAGTAGCCACGGTCCCTGCCTGAAGAGATCAGCTCAGTGCAGAAACCTGCATGCATGTGACCAACCTGCTGGTAACACGCACACGCTGCATCCTGTGACCAGCCCTCTGGACCCCAGCTCCTACCCCCAGACCTCCTGGTGGCCTCCAGTCTCCACTTCAGCCACCACATCTTCCCGTTGAGGTCGGCCTCCTCTGAGGCCACGACCCTGCCTCTGTTCACCTTTGCCCCTGCTCTTTCCCCTGCAGTCATCCCCACCATTTCACACCTGGGACCCCTGGGCTCCCTTCTGTCCGGCAGCTCCTCTGTCCTCTGCCCTCCCCAGCCACCCAGTTCCATGAGCCAGTGCTGCTGCCCCTGTGTACCAAGGTCTCAACCTCCTTTCCCTGTCCCTTTGTGACACCACAGTTTGGATAAGCCCCTCTCCACCCTCCCCCTCATGTGGGACGTCTCACTGAGGATAGTCACCTAGTAGACAGTGAGGCCACTGCTGGCCCCCTGTACTGCAGGAGGCCCTGAGTCCCCTCAGCTCTCTGGCCAGAGCTCTTCTGGCTCCTGAAATAGGGCATCAAACTCTGGTTTCAGAGATGGTGTCCGAGAACGAGTTCCCATGCCACCCAGGGGTCAGTGGCCCCCCTCTCACTCCAGGGCGGGGCTGGGGGCAAAGCTCTGGCTTCCCATGGCTGGACGCAACCTCTGACTGCCCCTCCCCAGACAGCCCAGCACTGAGGCTAAGGAGACCCCGAGGGATGGTATTTCATTTATTCCAAAAACAGATTCCTGGGGCCAAAACTAAGAATTTTGTTTAAATGGTACAGGAATAAAGAGAGAAGAAAAGGCCTTCAAACCTCAGCTGAATCAGGCTGGCTTAAGCTGGCTGCCCCTGCTGCTGCTGTGGGCCTCTGCTCCTGGGTGCAGCCCAACTCCCCTCCCCTGCCGCCAAAGGCCTCTGAGGCGCAGCTGGGAACCTGCTCGTGGGTGCAGCCCAGCTCCCCTCCCTGTGTGTTGTGTTTTCATAGCACTGAAGATGTCAAGGAGAATCTGCTGTCCATCCTGCTCAGCACCCTGGTGTCCCTCCTGGGATTCCTGACGCTGAACCGTGGCTTCTGCAGAGACCTGTGGGTGCTTATCTTCTGCCTGGTCATGGCCAGCTGCCAGTACTCCCTGCTCAAGGCAAGGCCCGTCCTTCTTGCTGGTGAGTGTGCTCTCCCTGGCGTGGCCTGGGAACGCCAAGGTGAGGTGACGCTGGCATTTGATCTGTGTTTCAGAGCGTGCAGCCTGACCCTGCCTCACCAATCCACGTAAGTTTCCAAATGCAGGCAAGTAACTTGTCTTGTCTGCTTGCGTTGAAGACAGACAAGTCTCCTGAGTCTATAAAAAGGCAAAATCCACAACTATGCTGCATCTCAAATGCTTAAGTAGAAATAGTAGACAGAGACACGAAGCATGCTGGCCGAGCTCCGGCCTGCTCTGAGCGCATGGTGTGCTGGCCGAGGGGACGTCTGGGCACAGGGCAGAGCCTTGTGGAGGTTCCTTTCTAATCCCCAGGGCCCTTGTCAACCTGGGGAGAGGTCACAGAAAACTGTCACCGTGCCTGCCCTCACTGCCCATCTGCTACTTGGTGCTGAGCAAGGTGCTGGTCGGTACCACGCCTCAGTGTGTTGTGTCGAGGAGGCTCATTAAAATGCCTCTGTGTAGCACATCCTGCATGTCGTGTACTTAGCACAGTGGGGTGTGCTTGCAGATGCCAGCGTTTACTGTAAGCAATGCCAGCTCGTGGGTACGGATCATTGTTCTTATTTCTTAAAAGGTGTTGTATAGGTTTGTGGTCACCATGATGACCTGATATGTGTCTACCTTGTGGAATGGGTCAATCTAGCTGGTCACCATGATGACCTGGAATGTGTACCTGTGGAATGAGTCAATCGAGCTACTTTTGTTTCTTGGTGAGAACTTTGGAATCTCTCTTGGCCACTGTCACATGTACAGCACATTATTATTAACCACTAGTCACCGTGCTGTTCAGAGATCTCCAAACCCCAGTCCTCTGGCCGGAGTGACTCCGTGTACCCTTTCACTGCCATCTCCCCACACCCATCCCCCATAACCTTGGTTCTGTGCTCTGCTTCTGAGTCTGCCTCCGGGTGCTGGCTGGCTTCTTTTGGGGCAGCGCTTGCAGGGTCACCCTGCTGCTGCACCTGCCAGCACCTCCCACCTAAGGCTGAGTGACATTGCACGTTACTGGTTCCTCATCAGGCTCTTAGGCTGCCTCCATGGCTTGGCTTTGGTGGGTGAGGCCAGGGTGAGCCGGGGTGCAGGTGTCTCCTCCAAGTGCCGTTTTCATCGCCACTGGCTGATAACCGGAGTGCCATTGCTGGGTCACGTGGTGGCTCCGTCTGCAGTGTTTCGAAGATCTGCGTGGTTTCCCTGCTGCTGCACCTCCAGTGGCACACGGGCAGCCCCCCTCCACATCCTCACCAAATGCACTGTTGTCTTTGTGTTAAATGCTGCTCTCACAAGTGTGAGCTGATATTTGATTGAGGTCCTATTTCACATGTCCCTGAATCGATGTTCTTTCTGCATGAAGCTGATCTTTGTTTTTTGATCCTGGGGATTGAACTCAGGGGTGTGATACCACTGAGCCACATCCCCAGCCCTCTCTCTATTTTATTTTGAGGCAGGGTCTTGCTAAGTTGCTTAGGACCTTTCTGAGTTGCTGAGGCTGGCTTTGACCTCATCCCTGAGCTGCTGGGATTGCCGGTGCTCTCCACCAGGCCTGGCTGGAGCTGATCTTCTTATTTTCTAGCTCGGGTTTACTATTTTTACCTTTCATCCCCAGCATTCTGGGCTGCCTACACTGACCTGTCGATGTCCTGACATTCTTGGATGAGCTCTGAAGCAGGAGCACCTTCTTCTGACTCCCCCCCACCCGTCCCAGCCCATGCCTTTGTAGCAAATCCTTGCCCTTGTTATGGCAAGCTCCTGTGGACCCCGAGACCCCTTCCAGTGAAAGAAAGCCCTGTCTTCCCTGAGTTGTGTTTCAAGAAAGTTCACACCCAGATTTAGGACTGATGTGAAGTCCACAGTAGCTCCTGTTTGGCTCATGGTAATTAAGCAGAGTTTATAATTGGGTGATCACATGGCATGCAAGCCTGTCTTATTAAACCTCTGTTCCCTATAATTGGTTTACATATAATACATCTTCTCTTGTCCTAGAGTCTGAATGTCAAGATAAGTAGAGCAGCATAATTAGGGTATTAAGATGTATTGTTGTAATTATCGTCAGAAGCCCTGGTAGGTGGTGTGAGGGAGATGTGCAGCTGGCAAGGTTCTCACTGAGGCCCACCCCAGGTGGCACATCACTGTCTCACCCCGTCCCCCTTCTTGTGCCTGCACCTCATGGCTGCTGGTTTTCTGGGTGACTTGGGGAGCATGCTGTTAAACATGCCTTCCCCAGTGAACTCTCAGGTGAGGCAGAGCACCCTAGGACAGGATGGCCAGTGTACCCCCTGCTCCTGTGGCTTCTCAGTGCCATTCCTAAGACCCTGTGATGCTGTGCTGAGTTGGAATCAACCTGTCCAGGTCCTGGAGGAACAGACTGAGCAAGCTGGTGGGACGACATGGCTGTTCTTGCTCCTAATAAGACATGACTAGCCATCTAACCATGTCTATCTACTGCAGTGATGAATTCACTTAAGATTTCCATGTAGATTAGTCCCTGGTTTGAGTTGCATTTCTCCAGCAGTTGTAATGAGGACAGGAAATAGGGAGCTATAAACTATTTCATCCTGCAATCTGCTGGGCTGTGCAAGTATTTAGAAAGCAGATTTATCATCTGCAATTTATAGATGAGAAACCTGGAGAAAGGAGATGGTCAAGTCAGAACCCGCTAACAGCTCCAGCAGATTGGCTAATTCCATTCCCAAGTGGCTCTAAAAGAACCCAGACTGCTTTTCAAACTGCTGGGTTGAGTACATTTGCAGGAGACGTTTGTTAATAAATTCAGCCAATGCTTGATGTTAAAGTGACATGTCTTCATCTGGGAGCACAGGTGGCAGGTTTTGAGCACGTTGTTAAATCAGAATATGGCTGCACCCTTGCCTCAGTTTACCTTGTCAGAAGGGGAGTGATAGTGTGCGCACCCCAGTGGCCTGAGGACTGGTCATGTGGATACATTGGAAGCAGGTTCAGCAATGAGTGACTGGGTCATGGGAAAGAGAAGCAGGTCCCTGTGGCTGCCCAGGTGTTCACAGCAGGCCCTGTGATTACGGCTGAGCTGGGAACGTGCTAAGCGCAGTGGCCAGAAGCAGCTCCCTGATGCCAGGGGGTGAAGCCCAGGCTAGAGCCAGATGGAGCTGGATGCCCCCTATACCTCTCTGAGGCCAGGCTACACCCAGCCCCAGGTCCTCTGGGATCCTCTCAGTCACCCTTCTTCCTCATGATAAACTCTTGTTTCTTCCAACACTGGCGGCTTCTGACCCCCCCACATTCCTCAAGAGGACCCTCACACTTGTTTGTCCTTGGCATGCAAGTGGGTGGGCTACCAAGGTGGGTTCTTGTGCGGCTCTCTTCCTCATCTGCTGTCCTGCCATGGCGTGGCATCAGGCCACAGGCTGGCATGGGTGGGCTCTGGGCAGTAGCCCTACAAGGCACTCCCAGGGGTGTTTTAAGGTTAAAAACAGACATGGAATGATGGAGTCCAGTGAACTTTAACAGACTATGGTCAGGCTTCACCTGGTAGAATGGATGGAATTTTCTTTTTGAAAAAAGTTTTTAAACATCGACCCTGAGGGTCTGATGATGGATGTACATTCAAACCTGGGCACTGGGCAGGGGCTTCTCATTAGGGAGTTTTCTGGGGTCAGGCAGAAGGTGCACGTACTGCTACTTATCTATGTGCCCAGAATGGCCTTGACCCAGACCTTAGGCTGGGACAGGTGCCTTGCGAACAGGGGAGGGCAACTCTGGGAGGGCACCAGTGTGTCCTCAATAACTAGTGCCCACGCTCTGTCCCCATGGCCGATGAAGGTACTCAGAAGGTACAAAATGACATCTCAAACTATTCGGAGCCCAAGGCTCTCAGTTTCTACTTTTGAACAGAAGGAAGATTCATCGCAAATGGAAGGCAGTCGTTTGGCTGCATCCTGAACCCCGTCAGTTAGCAGAAACGTGTTTGTACATAGCGAAGCTGTTTATTCCAGCTAATTCACTCAGCTATGCACTGTGCTAGGTGCATTTAGACTTGGCTGAGACTTTGATTTTCTTTTTTTCCTGCAAAGAAAGTATCTCCATGTCATTAATCCGTGGCCTAGTTGGACTCAAAAAAAAATTCCCTTTTAAAAGTGCAAAAGTACTTTTCCAAGACTGAGCCAGTCGCAGGACCAAAGATAGCTAGCCTCTGGGTAAATCCCACATCTTCCTGAGTAAGATGGCTTGGCACAGGACCATTTCTATCCTAGGACAGTGGAAAGTTAAATTGCACCCCTGAATACAGGACGTTCTAGGCGGTAACTGCAAACTCGAGCCTAACCCCCTCACTTCAGTCCCCCCCTTTGCACCCTCAGGGCAGTTCGTAAGTTCCAAGGGACACTCTTCCCCTAACTCATTTCTGTTGTCTTTTTGGCTCTCATGAACTGTGTGTTGATTCGTGAGGTGTAAATTATTTGTTGGCTCTTGTCATGGAAAGTTGCCGTTATATCTCTCCCTTACTTTCTCTAGCAATTTGAGAAGAACAGAGGATGTTTCTATTTCTCGTCACAATTACATTGGGGACTAAGACAAGGTCTGCTAAGTGGTTCCCCTCAGAGGAAAGTGTTGTATGAATTATGTCATCAAAATAGCAAATTTCCTTTAAAACTCAGAACATTCTGCTGCATGTCACCAGGGCGCATGGGACAACCTCTGCAGGGCTGCATTTGCACCTGAACTGTCTTGCTTTCCAAGACACTAGGGGACTGAAGCCTGCAACTTAAAATCCTGCTCCTCATTTGTAGTGGAATTCCAGTTAGACCATGTGGAGCAAGGACAGGTTTAAGTTAGCTTTGCACTTGAAATGAACAAAATGAATGGAACCTCTCTGTTGGAGAAAGCCCTTGAAGCCAATCTAGGTTTTTCTCCAGGGCTGGTAATTAAATTTTTAGGCAAATCTCTTTGGAATCGAGAGGCAAAGGGTTCTTTTTGACAGTCTCATTCTGATTTGGAAGAGGAGCACCAGGCTTTGCCTTTTCTTTTCCTGGTGTTCTGTGTGCATGGATTATGGGAGGGTGAGGGAGGATGTGTCATATGTACTGTTATGTGGTATCAAGTGTTGACTGACTGTGAGATTCTTGTCACTTAATCAAAATAAAAGGCACAACTCAGGAATTGTATTTGTTTTCTAGGGACACAACCAAATCATAACCTATAGCAGACCAATCTATTTTTGTATGCTGTGTGGCCTTATTTTGCTTCTCGATGCAGGGGCCAAAGCCAGGCGCCCTCCCAGTTATGTTGTGTATGGCCTGCAGCTCTTCTCCGCAGAGTTCCTGCAGTCTGCCAGGGACCACTTAATAGGTGAGTGGACGTGGGTCCTGGGGAGGGCAGCTTGGTCTCACCTTTACCTCCAGATCCCTTTCTGGAGAAGCCTCCTTACTATTATTCATGAAGCTGTGTACATTTCCCCATTGGCTTGCATATCTGCAGGGGACTGTGGGGAGTTGGGGCCCCCATGCGTCCAACATGAAGCTGGAAGAATTTTGATATCCGTGGCCAAGAGGTCGCAGCCCCACGATACCCGAGCCTAGGTGCTCTGCTCAACAGGCCTACCCTGTGCTCCTTGCCTGCCTTCCAGTCTAGGCAGTCTCTGCTGTGGAATGCTGCCCTGTGCATGCTACCTGCTTCCTGTGCCACCCAGCTCTGGAGTCACTGCTTTCCTAGATGAGTGACCTGGAGCAGCAGTCCACTGCTGCTTGTTGCAAGGACAAAAAGTCTTACCCACCTCTCAGTCCCTGTGGTTTTAAGTAAGTGAACATTCCTACATGCATGGGGTAACGCTTGGCACTGAGATCAGCTGTCAGTGTCGTTCTGTGGCCAAGAGCCTGCGTGGGGCTGGCCCCTGGCTCCGAAGCGTCCACTGCCCCTGTTATCTTGTGACTGGCTATGAGCTTGCTGGCCAGCTGAAGTGGATGAAGGGCAGCTCCAAGGACACTAGCCTGGGCTCCACTCAGAGCTGGAAATCGCTCCATAGTGGTCTGTCAGAGCCTTGGGTCAGTGTCACCTTTCCCAGGCACTGGAACTGCACAGGGGTCCCAGATGGGGAGTGAGCGCTGTGGTGGGTACAACAGCCTCGGACTCTCCCCAGCTGCCGCCCCCTTCCTTCCTGCTGTATTGGGAGCAACTCCTCGGTCTCCAGCCCTGTGCAAGCCCAGCACCTCTCCCTGCCCCATGGACAGAGGAGCTGAGCAGCTTTATAATGTCAGAGGGTCAGGGAATGTGCTTCAGGGAACTTCTGTGCGTACTTAGGAAGCAAAACTTGGGGAAATAGGCGCCAGTCCTCCTTAGACTCCTGGGGTGCCGCCTGTGAGAGCATTTGTTCTACCCTCAATTTTGCCTTTCTTTTTATGTTATTTAAAGTGTTCCCCCTCCCTCCCTTGCTCCCTCTCTCCCTCTTCTTTCTGCCTCCCTCTCTCCCTCTCCCTCCCTCCCTCCCTCTCTCTCTCTCTCTCCCTCCCTCCCTCTCTCTCTCTCTCTCCCTCTCCCTCTCTCTCCCTCCTTCCCTCCCTCCTTCTCTCTCTCTCTCTCCCTCTCCCTCTCTCTCCCTCCCTCCTTCCCTCCCTCTCTCTCTCTCTCTCCCTCTCCCTCTCTCTCCCTCCCTCCCTCCCTCCCTCCCTCTCTCTCTCTCTCTCTCTCACACACACACACACACACATACACACATACACCCCAAAGGCCCCTGGTCATCCTTGCCTTCTCAGCTGGCCAGGCTCTTCCTCCGAGCCTGGCTATGATGGTAGGTGACGGTCGGGGGTACACAGAGCAAGGCCCAGGTGACCACACACCCTCTGGAGCACTGTCTTTTCTTGCCATTATTTTTGTTTGTGTGCTTTTTGTCATTTGCACATAGCAGCACTGGAGTCTATAGCTCAAGGACACTCAAGGACTTGAGGACCGGAGGGAGGGAGGGGGTGTGGAAGATATCTGTGCCCTTGCTGCACCCGCATTTCTCAGGAGCTTCAGGGCTGCCATCTCCCTGACCCTGAGTGTGGCCAGTGCCGTTGGAGCTCGGTAGCCAGGATCTGTGACCCCCCACCCCTGGCTCCCAAATGCTCTGCTGTCTGCAGGGCCTTAACCATTCAGGGGAGGGTGCTGTCCCTCAGTCTGGTTCCATTTTCATTGTCCTTCGACCCACACTTGTCAGCGCTCACCCATTTGTGGTCATCTGCTTGCACTGGTCACATGTGATTCCATCTGTCCCCTGCCAGCCTGTCTGCTCAGCACAGGTGAGGCCGAGGCCCCTCCAGCCTTCTCATCTTGAATGCTCAGCACTCGGCATGGTATCCTGTTCAGGGTACCCGGTGAACACTGTGGGTGGGGAGCTGGTCACCATGGCGTACCTGCCAGACGGAAGGAATCACGTTGGCATGTCCCACCCACGCTTGGTAGAAGCACACCACCTGGCCCCACGGTCGGCTGCGGAGGATCTGGGGAGAGATTCAGGGAGAGAAAGCCCACATGTCTCCAGCAAGGAGTCGCCCTTCGCACCCAGGCCTCTCCCTTGTTCCTCGTGCCATTGGAGCAGTGCAGTGGTGCTGGCAGGGCAGGCATTCAGTGGCCTTGGAATGTGAGAAGCTGTCAAGGCTTTAACAGGAGACGTACACGCTGGGCACAGCCCCAGGTTCATCGTGTGGCAGCAACCCAGGCTCGGGAACCAGCTAGTAGCTGTGCACAGTCTTGTTTTATTTCTTGGGATCAATTCCCCTAGAACGAGGGGGACAGGAAATATGGCATTCTTAATTTTTTCAGTGGAATCCCCTTTCTCTCATATTTTTTGTCTGCTCCTCAACAGTGACAAGTGAAAGTGACGATAGGTAATCCGGCAAGATGCCCAAGCATCTGGTAGAGATAAACAGAGGAATAGAGCCCGCCAGTCCCTGGGGATGAACGTGTTGATTGTGCTCCTCTGCTGAGCAGAGGGGATGGTGAGCCTGAGGAGGACGAGAAGGCAGGAGGGAAAGGCTGGTTTGCCTCTCTGACTCTTGGGGGACAAGGGCAATTCAAGGTTACTTCCGCTTATGGAATCTTCGCCCTCTGTTCCCAGCTGTCGGGGGATTTAAATAGCACATAGTTGCTGCCATTATGACCGCAGGGTCCAGCAGGGGAGAGGGAAAGGATCAGGAAAAACCAAACCTCAGTGGGAAGGGAGGCTTCCCGAGGCTGCCGAAAGGAGGCACCACAGCCTCTGTTCAGAGCAGAAGCCCAAGGCCAAGGGGCCGCAGGGGTGGTCTCCTGAGGCCCCGCTCCTCGGCTTGCAGATGGCGTGTTCTCCCTGTGGTCTCACATCTCCCTGCTGTGTCTGTCCATCTAAGCCCAAGTCCACCCTCTTTATAAGGAGCCCAGTAGTGCTGGACAAGGCCCAGGAGGGCTTAATCAACCATCCTCATGGGAGCATCTGCAAAATCCCTGTTTCCACTTGTGACCACAGTCACAGGACCTGGGGTTGGACTGGGCACAATTCAAAGAATGACAAGGAGCTCCAAAGACAAAGGTCAGGCGAGAAGCCAGAACCCAGCCTGGGTGACCCAGCCCGAAAGTGCCCCATGCCTCTCACACCACCTCGGTTGCTTGCAGTGGGTCGTCCTCAGGGCGGGGTGGGGCTGGGGATGTGAAGGTTCCTTAGGCTGGCCTTACTGGTGACAGTTCTGGCACCCTCTGCTCTTCTGGGTCTGCTCAGCATCTCCAGCCTCAAAGCTCTCTGTGTTGCCTCCCCACATAGAAGGGATTGCCTGCTGGCCAGTGGTAGGGACAAAGCCAGCAGGAAAGGTAACCATGCTTTTTGTTACATGTAATGCAAGGGAGGAGGACCTCAGAGGCAGGGAGAGAATGTGGGAGGGTGCAGGAAGGCAGCAAGGGTGAGCGACACGCTGCAGATAAGGTTCCTATGCACTCTCCTCCTCAGTTTAGAACATGGCCTGCGTCTTCCTTTGTTACAAGGGGATGCTCTACTCTCATTGCCAGGAACAGGGCGGAAGGCCTTCTCAGCACTGTTTCCTGCACTCATTTGGAGACTGGGGACCTGGGGCTGCCATTTTTATTACTTTCCATCTGGGCAACTGCAGCCACAGCCTGTGAGCGAGCCTAGCTTCCCACCGCAGAGAAAGCCCAGGCTTCAAAAGGAGCAGCTGGGAGCAGGGCCAGGCCCCGGGGAAGTGCCCTTCCACCTTCAGCTGTGGAAGGGCAGCAGGAGGGAGGGGAAGGGCTTGTGTTCTCTGTTGCAGCTGTGATAACTGATCTCGGCAGATGGCAGGTGGACTACAGCTCATGTGAGGCAGACCTTTAGGATGGCCGGGAACCGAGCTGCCCTTCAGTAGGATGGGTGGCCTAGGGAAGCAAAAGTGCCTGATATTGGTGCTTAGGTGAGAGGAGGCCTTCCCTGGTAGCCAGGGCCACACATGGGGTGACTCTTCTCAGATGCAAGAGTTTTCTGTTGCTTTTGGCCCCTTGGCACAATGAGCCCCACCTACCACAACACAGCCTCTACACAGCCCTGCAGGGGAGCGCTGCTTTTGCCCTTTGCTTTCTTGAGCACTGAGCCTCACTTTTCTGTGCTGCTGGGAAGGCTCAGGACGGTCCTTCCCACAGAGGCCCATGGAGGCCTGGTAGGCTGATTCCATCTACTCCATAGGGATTCCCACTGTTCATGTTTACCAGAAGCCATGTGCTTGAGCTTTGGTGTTTTTGTTTATGAATTTTGCTTGGAAAGAAATGGAACTGATCTGGAAGCCCCTGCATTATGGTGATTATTAGAGAAAATAAGAAGCAAAGAAGTGAGAGGAAATCACGGACCTGTTCAGCGGCACGTGAACAGAAAACCTTTGCAGAAAAGTTACAAACAAACACAGGCTTTTATTTTTTTGCTTTTGGAAGAAAGGACAAAACAATTTCAGCAGTTCCCCAAGGCCACTGTGTGGGCCACCCTGGCAGCAGATACAAGACTCCTCCCCTGGAACGTTCTGGAGGGTGTCTTGTGCTGGGGCCTCCCTGTCTTCTGCCATCCTCCTGGGGTTACCTCATTGATCCCCAGGGCTGCACCTGCACCACACCTTCAGCAGTGGCTTCTCTCGCCTCTGCCCTGCTTTCCCAGGGCCATCCTGGGTTGTGTTCCGAAGGCCCTCTCTCCTGGCTAGTGTCCGTCTCATGGGCAGTACCTCCTACCCAGGCCCAGCCCAGTACCTGTCAGTGTTTGGCTGCTTCACTCCCACCCCCGCCCCCAGACGTCGCCGGGGTCCCCCACATGGCACCTGGAAGGCAAGCTGGAGCTCTGCTGGAAGTGGAGGGGGTGGCCCAGTACCGGGTCCTTGTTGGATGTGAAGGGAAGGGGCGCTCAGGTTGCCGCGGTTGTGTGGATGAAGACTTGGATGCTCGCAGCTACGTGTTCTGCAGCCAAGCATGGGCTTTTCTCAGGGACGTCCTCTTCCTGTCTCTGAATTCCATCTGCAGAGACTGAGAGGATGCTGTGCCTCACACAGCCATGTCCAGCAGATAGTGTGCTTCCCTGTGTCACTGGGGCGCAGGCTGCTGGCGTGGGCACTGCAACAAGTGCCTGAAGCAGCGGTTCAGCAAGGGCACACCTGTGCTGTGGTCACAGAGAGAATTTTCCTCCATGACTGGTCGGCCTCACTGCTTGGGGACCAGAGCAGAACTGCCCACCTCATGGCCAGGACCTGAAAAGAAAGAGGAAGAGACCACTGTTCCCCAGGGTAACCTGCAATGACCTAGAGCCTGCCACTGGGCCACCTCCTGAGATTCACACACACCTCCCAGCAGCCCACACTGGGCACCAGGCCTCCATCTGTCACCTGGCCTCCAAGGGTGCTCCAGATGCCAATGTGGGAGGCGTGGTCGGTTTTACTCCCTAGTTACAGGCTGCCACATAGCCATTATTACAAGATCACCAGAACCTAGAGGTGGCCCCTGTGCAAGCAGAGGCCCTGTTGTCATAGCTGCACATGTTACCCCAGATCACACAGCCCACAGCCCTGGGTGCCTGTGGGACAGGTCCGGCCCACACTGAGCCGAGACCCATGATTAGAAAGACAGACACACAGACCCTCAACTCCACTGTGACCCCCCGGGGACCCTGTGCTTCCTGTTTTTTTAGGATGGCTGAAATCCTGCCTCACTTGCCACTGTGGCCCCCTGTGGCTTCTGTAGTTTTAACACAAGCTCAATGTCTAGGCAGTGGGTTTCTAGAGAAGTCTCCTTAGTTCTGCTAAGGCTCTCCAGTGTCGGATGTCTCTGCCCTTGCCAGCAGCCTCCATCAGGGAGAGCAGGTCCACTGAGCCCCACCTTGGGTTCTTGGCAGAAGGCCACCGAGTAGCACCAGGTGGCGGCAGGAGGCAGCTGTGGCACGGCCCTTCCCCTGCAAGTTCAGCTTGTCTCTGGTATGCTGGACCCCCCCCCCCCACCAGTGTCCTAGCCCATCACAGTCTCGCCCTGGGATGGGGCTGGGATGGCCAGAGTAGGCATAGTCTTCCTACCTAGCTGCCGGTGGATCTGCCCGCCTAGAACCTGTGCCTGCCCTCACAGTGGCATCCGGGGTTGTGCCAGGGTAGCCGACCTCAGCCCCAGGTGCTGAACTCATCCAAGCACCTGCTCCACACTGGGACCCGGGCTCCATGCAGGAGTGATCCCCGTGGCCACCATCTCTTGTTTCTGCAGGTCCCTGTGGTTTTCCAGACCGTGTCCCCGCTCCCCACCTCCCCCATGTTGAGGCCTGCTCTCTGCCTTCCCGTCCAGGGCCTGGCAGTCCCAAGCTTGTGTGCTTGCCTTTCCTGGGGGCCACCTAGTCACTCCCAGGGCACTGTCCACCTCAGCCTCTGGAGGCTGGTTAAGAGTCCAGAATCACTGCCACATCGCCGGGTGGAGGGGCCTGGCTGGGGAGAGCTGCCTGGTGACAGTCTCTGTGCTTGGCTTATCACCGACTCCTTGGTTCATTTCAGTGTTTGTATATTGCTTCCCTGTGATTTCCCTCCTTGGGCTCTTCCCGCAAATCAACACCTTCTGCACTTTTCTCCTGGAACAAATTGACATGCTGTTCTTCGGGGGTTCTGGTAAGTCCCTTGCTGCTCTCCCAGGAGGGTTCTGCTGTTAAGCACAGATAGATAGTGTAGGTGGGGGAAGGGGCCAGCCGGGGGGGGCGGTGCTTTATCCCAAGCTCTCCAACTGCTCACTTTGGGTCCCCTGTCAGGACCCCTCAGACTTGGAAGTGGCCGCCCAGCTTGGATGAGGAAGGACAAGCAGAGGAACAGGGCAGTCAGGAGAGCCTGCCGTCTGTGGCGGGCTTGAAGCCTCAAGCCCTCCTCAGAGGAGGTCGTGTGTCTGTGCATGTGAGCGTGAGCCTGTGCGGATCTGAGTATGAGTGAGCCCGTGAGCGGGACGTCACGCATGTGCCCTGTGTCCCTGAAACAGCGAACCCTGTCCCTCACCTGTGCAGTGCTATAGCTTTGGACCAGGGGGAGAACCCCAATGCTCCCAATGTGAGCTCCTGAGCCTCCACCTGGCCAAGAGGGCAGCATAGGCTGACCATAGGCCGCTGACAGGACAAGGCGGATCCACCGACAGGGCAGTGTGACACTCACATGCCCCAGAGCCTGCTTGTCCGCCCGCCTTGTGCCCTGCTTTCTTCTGTATGAATCGCCTTCATGGTCCTGCCTGGCCAGCAGCTGGCCACTGTAGGCCCACACTGGCCTTTCAGGGCCCAGAAGCAGTGGCTGGGCTCCCTAATGCTCACCTTTGGGGGGCTTAGTGCAGTGACGAGGCCACTCATGCTGGTGGCCGCCCCATGTTCTCTGAGGGACCTGGCTGGCAGCCTGTCCCCGAGGGCTGCACCCTGTTTCCTGTGACCACCGGCAGCCTACAGCTGGGCACTTGAGACAGGAGCTGTTGGTGTCTGTGTTCCAGCTGTTTCTGGGATCCTGTCGGCCGTGTACAGTGTGGGCCGGAGCGTGTCCGTGGCTGCCCTGCTACACGTCTTCTGCTTCAACGCCGTGAAGGTAGGAGTGTCCCGGGACGGGCCTTGTCCTTCTCACGCCCACTCCATCAGCGTATTAAAGGAACAGGCTTTTCTCCAATTGCAAAAGAAATGGGGTCTGAGACCAGAAGGATGGCAGGCCCGACTGAGACAGGTGGTGACCCAGTCTAGCCTGGCCATTCCCTGCAGATGTCTCTCTGTCAGTCAGTGACACAGGGGGCTCTGTGTGACACGTGGTCAACACAACCCATGGGCTGACCTACACTTCCTTCTGAAATGCCACTCACAAGAGGGAAGGACAGTTGTGTGAAGCTAGGTGGACACCAGAGCAGGCCAGCCTAAGCTGGCAACCAAGCAAGCCCTAGATGATGGAAAACAAGATAAACACTGACCAGAAGAACCAGAAGTTGTGTCAGTGCTGGAACTGTTGTCCATGCATGGCTGGCCACGGATTGTGTCCATGTACACGTATGACCGGGCTGAGGATTGTGTTCATGTATACCTGTAGCCCAGCTAAGGATTGTGTCCATGTACAGCCATGGCCTGGCTGTGGATAGTGTCCATGTACACATGTGGCCCAGCTGTGGATAGTGTCCAGGTACATATGTGGCCCGGCTGTGGATAGTGTCCATATGCACACATGGCCCAGCTGTGGATAGTGTCCATGTGCATGTATGGCCCAGCTGTGGATAGTGTCCAGGTACATATGTGGCCCGGCTGTGGATAGTGTCCATATGCACACGTGGCCCAGCTGAGGATAGTGTCCAGGTACCTGTGTGGCCCAGCTGAGGATAGTGTCCAGGTACCCGAGTGGCCCGGCTGTGGATAGTGTCCATGTGCACGTGTGGCCCAGCTGAGGATAGTGTCCAGGTACCCGTGTGGCCCAGCTGTGGATAGTGTCCATGTGCATGTGTGGCCCGGCCGTGGATAGTGTCCATGTGCACGTGTGGCCCAGCTGTGGGTAGTGTCCAGGTACATGTGTGGCCCGGCTGTGGATAGTGTCCAGGTACATGTGTGGCCTGGCTATGGATAGTGTCCAGGTACCCGTGTGGCCCAGCTGTGGATAGTGTCCATGTGCACATTGGCCTGGCTGTGGATAGTGTCTAGGTACATGTGTGGCCCAGCTGTGGATAGTGTCCAGGTACATGTGTGGCCTGGCTATGAATAGTGTCCAGGTACATGTGGCCCGATTGTTGATAGTATCCAGGTATACATGTGTGGCCCAGCTGTGGATAGTGTCCATGTGCATATGTGGCCCAGCTGTGGATAGTGTCTATGTGCCCGTGTGACCCAGCTGTGGACAGTGTCTAGGTACACGTGGCCCAGCTGTGGATAGTGTCCAGGTACATGTGTGGCCCAGCTGTGGATAGTGTCCATGTGCACTTGTGGCCCAGCTGTGGATGGTGTCCAGGTACACGTGTGGCCCAGCTGTGGATCATGTGTAGGTACATGTGTGGCCCGGCTATGGGTAGTGTCCAGGTACACGTGGCCCAGCTGTGGATAGTGTCCAGGTACATGTGTGGCCCAGCTGTGGATAGTTCCAGGTACCCATGGCCCAGCTATGGATAGTGTCCAGGTACATGTGTGGCCTGGCTGTGGGTAGTGTCCAGGTGCATGTGTGGCCCGACTGTGGATAGTGTCCAGGTACCCGTGTGGCCCAGATTGGATAGTGTCCAGGTACATGTGTGGCCCGGCTGTGGATTGTGCCTATGTGCATGTGTGACCCAGCATAGGTTGTGCCCGTGCATCTGTGGGGACCATATTTTCTTTATTCGTTCACCTGTTGAAGGACACCTAGGCTGATTCCATAGTTAGCTACTGTGAACTGAGCAGCTATAAACGTTGACATGGCTGTGTCACTGTAGTATGCTGATTGTAAGTCCTTTGGGTATAAACTGAGGAGTGGGACAGGTAGGTCAAATGATGCATTCCAGGTTTTCTGAGGAGTCTCCACACTGCTAAGCTGAAACTCTTTTGATATGAAAACAACTCACCGATCATGGTGATGAGCAAATCTATGGAACACAGAGAACCCGTCAGTCCCAAGGGCATTGTCTGCACAGAAGCCATTCCTGAGACTTCTGGAGAAGGGGTGTGCTCTCAGACACCTGTTCTACTCAAAAGGTGCTGGTATACACCACTGCCAGCTCTAATGCCACCCACAGGAAAGCTTACTCATGGGTTGCCACACGGTCCTTTATGCAAATTCTTAGAGGATGTAGACACTATTGAAGAATCTGGTATGAAACAGGTTTTTACCTAGTTAAGGACAGGGACGTTCCTCCTTCCTGCCCAGTCTGACTCCATTCCCCTGAGATGTTGCTGGCTGATCATGGCCTTTTCCTCACCATGGTGTAGACAGCACTGTGGGCAGCCAGTGCCTGCTGTCCAGAGCTGGCCCTGGACAAACACCCTTTACTGTCGTGGGCTGGGTCTTTTGTTTGTTTCTGTTTCCATTCTGTGCACGACATGTCGGAGGTTGGATCAGAGTTGAACAGACTCCATCCTGAGTGCACAGCCATCTCTGAGGTGGGATAGGATGCACCAGACCCGGGGCCAGCCCAGCTGTTGGAGCAGCCTTTAGAGCAGGTGGAGTGCAGGCCCTTGGGGGAGGTTTATTTCACCTCAGGGAGGTTTTGGCTTCTCTTGCTCAGTATAGAACAAGCATCACTTGTGATAATGTAGTGTGTTGTAACAAAATCTTAATGTTCTAGCTGTATTTTGAAGTGCCTTTTGGTAAAAAATTTTTTTTTTTAAAAAATATATATAGCAATTTGCATCCCTTCTCATCTGTAAGTCTTGAGTGCTCTAATGGTCCCAGATGGCCTCTCGACGCTGAAATACAGCACCTATTAAATGCCATGAGTTGAGTGGATGTGGTTAGCAAATCGCAGGGGGTCTTAGGAAGAAAGCAAGCTCACGTCCTTAGCCCAGCTCCCAGGCCCAGAGCTGTGATTCTGCCTCTTGTTTAACAATGCTGTTGTTGGACCTTCCTGCTTTTTCTGCTTCGTGGGAATCGATTCTCCCTTTCCTCTCTGCTGCAGCATGATGGATGGTGGCTGTGAACTATCTCAGCCTGCGCATCTGGCCAGAGCTGTGTCTCTCTGAGTCTTGGGGGGCGTGTGTTTCTGGTTTTACTGTTGCCACTTGGTTGAAATTGGTGGAGGGCCTCTGAGTTGATTTTGTCCTCTGGAATATTAATTCGGGAAGGAACATTTTGTTCCTCTTTAATTTCATATTCTCTTTGACTTTTCCAAGACAGGGCAAGGAGCATACCAGGGCTCCTCTCTGACTTCAGTGTTTGACAGCTACACAGAGACAACCAGAGCTTTTGCTCCCTGGAGAGGCACTTGGTGGTTAATTAGCTGGGCTTTCCCTCTGTCTGGGTGAGCCACAGTTTCTGTTTTGTGTTGTCCTCACAAAGGGACCCTGTTTTATTGAAGGCAGGGGATGTCTAAGATGCAGTGCTTCATTATAATTCGGTGCTTTACAAGCATCATTAGCTCGTTGCAGGGTCTCCCTCGTGATCCCATCAGGTGCCAAGGATGGCATTTAAGGTCTAATTGCAGGTGGGAAGCAAACTCAACTCATCGTTGTGGGCTGTCTTCAGTGCTGCCGCAGAACCTGGACGTCCCTGGCCCAGCTTTTCCGTTGTGTTATTCCAGATGAGGAAACAGATGTGGGGCCTGCAGGGTGCTCTGTGTCCCAGCCAGAGCTCTGTCTCACAGTCCTGCCTCTCCGGCGCCACGTCCCTCCACATCTCGGGATGAATTCTCTGACCAGAGGACAGTCAGTTCACCACGTAATGGATCCCTTTCCTGATGCCTTGGTTCATGAGACAGTTTCCCAAGTGCTTTCTTGTCTGCCCTTTGTTACAGCCCAGGTGAGGGACAAAGAGGGCATTAGCATTTCTGTGCTCCAGTGGAGAACAGAGGCAGAGCTTTGGCGGCCTAGGAGCACATGCCCAACTTGCACTGAATTTTTCCTAGTGTAAAATGGATTAGCTGTGAGGTGAAATGGAATGGAATGGAGGCTGTGTGTGAAGTCCCTCTCTGAAGGGGTCTTGATACGCAGCCTGGGAGGTGAAGATATAGGGCTACCAGGATTCTCCACCTCTGGGGTAAGGGCAGGGCCTGGGGGATGAAGGGATATGGCAGGGCCTGTGGGCAGGCCTGGAGGAGGAAGGGAGGTGGCTCCTGGTTAGGTTACATCATCTGGCAAAAGTGAGGAGCTGCAGATACAGTGAGGGTCTCCAACCAGAGAACTTGGTTTTAAATCAGAATCTAATTTAAAAGGGAGATAGATTATCCTGGGTAGATCTGAGCTAATCAGAGGAGCTCTTTAAATGAGGGTCTGAAGGTCTAAGGGGCCAGGAGGAGCTATTGAGGCCCTCAAGGAGGGGCATGACCACGTGTGCATGGCTGTTAGAGAGGCTGTGTGGCTGGGACCCATCGGGAGTCACTAGAGCTTGGACCCAGTAGTCCGTCAGCCAGAAAGCAGGCACTACAGCCCTGCAGGCACTGAATGCTGCTTACCAAGGGTCCTGCTGACTGGGGACCTTGGAAGAGGACCCTCATCTCATATGGACCCCAAGGTCCAGCCAGCTCTGTGGTTTCAGCCTGGCAGGACCCTGAGAAAAGAACCCGCCATGCTGGGCCCAGACTCCTGACCTACTGAGTCTGTGCGATTCCTGCGTTGTTCTAAGCCACAGAGGGTGGGGTGATTTGTTACCCAGCAGTACAAAAGTAGCACAAACGATAGCTCATTAACATCAGCACTTGATGCTTGTCACGATGACACACGTGATGGCAATGATATGAATGGTGGTGGGCCAGGAATGCCTGTGATCTCAGAGGCTCAGGAGGCCGAGGCAGGATGGCGAGTTAAAAGCCAGCCTCAGCAACAGGGAGACCCTAATCAACTCAGTGAGACCCTGTCTCTAAATAAAATACAAAATAGGGCTGGGGATGGGGCTTAGTGGTCATGTGCCCCTGGGTTCAATCCCCAGTACCAAAAAAAAAAATGTAGTGGATTTGAAAATAAAACCTGAGTTCTAGCTCATTTTTACTTATATTACAGCTTGCACTTTATGGCTACAGTTGTGTCTCTTCACAGTCACAGAAGACAAGATTCCTGTCAAAATAGATGCCCCCACATGCACACTTGCCCAGAGTGACTCCCCAGTGCACACGGATCCTCGGGGAGCTGTGCCTGTGAGGCAGCTTTTCTTGTACCTCATAAAAACATTTCCAAACCTGAAGGAGCTTTGTGAAACCCGCACTCATCAATCCGTATCGTTCCCAATTTAGGGGCTCTTGAGACACATCTCAAAGCAATTAGGGATGTTGAGGTTGAAGCAAACCATCCCGTGGTGTGTGCTTCATTATCCATGAGTGACAGATCGTTTAAAATCTGGTCTTCCTCGAAATGGTCATGCTTTTGTGGATCTGTGTGTGAGTGTCGTAAATACTTATGGGCGGAAGATGATTTAACACTAGACACACGTGTCTGGAAGGAAAGAGCTCATGTTTTAAACCTAGAAATGCCAGTTGGTACCTCTCCTCTGCCCTTGCTCCCGCTGAGAGGTGGGCAACACAAGCTCTGAGCCCCTCCAGCTGCACACCCCCCTTGGCTGTTCTGCTCCAAAACCCTTCTCAGGCCACTTGGCCCTGCAAACTGACCTTCTTATTTGAATGCCAATATCTCCTTCTCTGTCTTCAAATAAAACTGAAAATAAAAATTCTCACATGTGTTTCCTCTCTGGGCATCCCTGAACCACCTACTGGCCCTCAGTTGCCAGGCTTGGGGACCCTGCAACTTAGTGCCCTAAGCCACCCTCAGGAGGGCGCACCTGCCTGAGGCGCCAGGGTAGGGAGGGAATGACCTGGGAGTGGCGGACAGAGACAGAGATGGTTGTCCACCCCAACCCGACTCTGTGCAAGCCCTGTGTGGTTCCCTTACACTTAGCTTGTTGGCCTGATATGTGTGTGTGTATGTGTGTGTGTGTCTGTGGATGGACCCTGGGAAGCTTGGCCAGTGAGTGTGTGTGTGCTTGTGTTTGTGTGCACGTGTGTGTGTGTGTGTGTGTGTGGATGGATCCCGGAAAGTTTGGCCAGTGTATGTGTGCGTGTGTGTATGTATGTGTGTGTGCGCCTCTGTGGATGGACCCCAGGAAGTTGGCCTGTGTGTGTGTGTGTGTGTGTGTGTGTGGATGGACCCTGGGAACTTGGCCTGTGTGTGTGTGTGTGTGTGTTGAATAATGCAGAACCTGGAGCTCAGAGGTGTTTCCAGGGGAGCCCCAGGAGGTCCAGGCGTCTGCCCTTGCTCCCCCTCTCAGAGCCCATGGAAGGAGCAGTGAGGCCGAGGTGGGTCTGGAGCCTGCGCCTCGCCTGTCCCTGGCTCCGCCCTTTCCTAGGAAGCAGCCTGCCTCCAGAGTCACCTGGCCTTCAGGCTGTTGAAGGAGCTTCCGTCCACCCGTGGCCCTGCTGTGGCTCACTGCCTCTCACCCCATGCCCAGCTGCCATACTCTTGGGAAAGCAGGGGAACTGGTGATGATGCTGGCCGGACCCTTCCCAGTGCAGGACACGCCTCAGGAGGGCGGCAGCCTGGTAGTCAGTGAGAAGCACCGGTTGGGGCAGTTCACGGGGTGATTCACCAAGTAGCCTGCAACAACAGCAGTCCCACCTGGCGGGGTCAGAGTCCTGTGTGGTAGAAGAGCTCCTGTCCCCACCTAGCCGTGGAATGACGTGGGCGCCCACCTGGGCAGCGCCTATCTAGGAGCCTAGAAACACAGGGTGATGAGCTGCTGCTCAGGATACACAGCAAACAGTTCTATTGTGAATTTTTAGAAAATAAGTGGACAGAATACATTCCCTCTGTCCTTCCACCCCCACGAGGACCTTTGGTCAGTGGACAGCACATACTATGGTGTCCCATGAGATTGCAGTGAGTTGGAAAATCCCCGTTGCCTAGTGACATCATCACTGCTGTGACATCCTGGTAAAGCACGTCCATGGCAGTGCTGGCACAAGCAGACCCACTGTACATGGGTCCCGTGAGCATGCGCACTACTCATGCCGTGCGTTTCTGGTGCCGGGAGCCCACCGTGGTGGTGCCGTGGGAGCCTGAAGGCCACACCTCTGTCTCCCTGTGTGTGACAGGCTGTGCGTGGAGGCAGGAGCAGTAGATGCGTGTGGCACTACACTGGGGTCCCAGCCTCTGCGCTGCTCAGTCACCTGCTATCCTTCCCCAGGAGCCGTGGAGCACGCAGCATATCCCCGCGCTCTTCTCTGCCTTCTGTGGTCTCCTGGTCGCGCTGTCCTACCATCTGAGCCGGCAGAGCAGTGACCCCACTGTGCTCCTGTGAGTAACCCGCGGTGCTCCCCATTCCCCGTGTGGGTGCTGAGGTGGGAGGCGCCCTCAGCAGTCAGTGCCGCTGGACGCTTGCTGTCAAGGGAGCCAGACGAGGAGGCAGCGGTGCGGTGCTGACCGGAAGCTGAAGGGTGGGTGCCACCACTTTGCCTCCTGCTTGGAGCTGGCCCCATCTGGGGGCCACTGAGACCCCCCTGGGTGAGCCTTGGAGAAACCCCCAGAGAACCCCCCAGAGGCACTGTGCATGGAGCCTGGGCAGCCCCTGGAAGAAGGCTGCCTTGGTCCCCACCCCCAGTGCCAGGGAAACTCTGCTTGGGGGCTGGAGTGACATAATCTGAGGCTGTCAGGTGCCTGAGGTGGCAGGCTGCAGAAGTGGGCGCGGGAGGGAACTGTGGTCTGCATGGTGTTTGGTGTCAGAGGTGCCCCTGGAGCATGGCCTTGCTGGGGTGTTCTGGGGAGGAACCTGGTGGGTGACAGAAGCAGCACCCACTGCTGCTCGTCAGCGCTAGTGCCCAGCAGGGAGGGGACTCAACTGTGTTTGTCAGGAGGAAGTTTAAACATCGGGACACTGCTTTCAGAAGGCACCTCCTTCATTTTAATTTCCTCACAAGAACACTTGCCTGCCATCCATGGGTGTGAGGTCAGGGGCACTGTCCCAGACGCATCTTAAAACCAAACCTGTGTGTTTTCCACTCTTAGGTCTTTGATTCAATGCAGATTGTTCCCTAAATTTTTACATCAAAATCTGGAAGAGTCGGCCTCAGATCCTCTCCCCCAGAAGATGAAGGACTCGGTGGTAAGACCTTTGCGTTGTGTGTTGGGGGTGGGCCTCCTCAACAGAGTTGGGCTGTGGTCATGGCCACGGGAGGGAATGGGGCAGGAAGAGGCACCAGTCTCAGGCCAGGCCTAGCGCTTGCCCATTGCACTGGCTGCCAGGTGGGAGCCGTGAAGCATCCGAGGGGGGTGCCATCTCCTTGGGCCCCAGGTGCCCCGTGGTCCTCGGTGGCAGCAGCTGGCCCGGATGTTGTCGTGAACCCATTCAGTTGCTTCTGCCCTTTACTGGCTCCAAACAGCAGGTCCCCAGACTGAATGCGAGCCACTTGCGGTCCTGGTACCCCCACCCGCTGCTCCTGCGGCCTTGCCATCGCCCTGCGCTTAGCAGGGAACACTCTTCCCAGGTCTTCTGGTTCTGCACTGGCATCTGTACCACCCCCACAGGGTCCCGGGCTCCAGGCTCACAGCTGTGGTGCAGTTTGAAGGGAATCACTGTCCTGGTTGGAAACGGAAGGAGGAGAGAGGGAGGAAGAGGAGAGTCCCGGGGGCAGTAAAATAATGACACTATTTCTTGTGCACCAGGAAGATGGCTCTAGGCAGTGTCAGCTGCCCCAGAATCAGCTTCCATTCAGTTCTCAGGAAGCGACGCTCATTGACTGTGCAAGTCCCCTCACGTTTGAGTGCGGAGCCTGGTGCAGGCTGGGTCCCCAGTTCCTGCTCTCCTGTGTTTTAGGACTGGCAAAGGGAAAAGCAGTCGGTGGTCAGACGCAGCCAGGAACTGCATCTCATGCGTCTCAGTGTCCACTGTGCCTGCCACACAGTATGTGCTCAGGACATGCTGTTGGATTCACACGAGTTAACTGCAGCCTGCTGTTTCAGGACACAGGACTCATGGTCAACAGGATCACGTTTTAACAAGTGCACACTCAGCCCTGGCCTTAGAGTCTTTCAGTCAGTCTTCTGTGTCACCTCCAGGGACTCAAAGGATGCACCACTGAGTGAGAAGAGGGGTGTGGTTGGTGAGTTTTAAGAGCAGAGGTGTGTTCAGAGGAGGGCAGGAGGCGAAGCCAGAGAGCTGATGTGGTGGCAGCCAGACGAGAGAGGTGTTGACACAGAAGCAGCACCGCAGCTGATAGAGTGCCAGGGGACCGAGTGGCTAAGCCAATGTTCCCAGAGGTTGCCGTAAAGCTTGAGTCTCTCCATGCCCCCCAAGTCTCCTCATCTCACAGCTAATGAGGACACCTCTCCATTTTCTGATTTATTGCAGTTAAAGTAAGGTAAGAATTACAAAGAAATATGACGGGAAACTTGCCTGGCGCTGCTGATAGCAGTTCATTAGTGTAATTAGATATGAAGGCCAGCGGTGCCTTACTGGGTTCTCGTGCACTTTGATGTCTCCACAGAGGCAGCACACAGCTGGAGAGGTGACATAATGTGATGTTTGTGTTCACTTCTCTGAACAGCCTCTGATCTAATCATAACATCTTAATGGGAACATCAGAGTTGGCTTCTCTGGGCTGATTCCTACCTGGGCCACGGTGCGATTCTGAGGTCCCATCTTCGCGGTCTCTGATGGCACTCCCATCTTCTCCCTGCCCTTCATTTTCCATCCGTGTGTCTCTTTTCCTGAATCTTGGTGGCATGAGACGCCCCAGGGAGCCTCTTAGACTACAGCTCCTGGCCTTTCCTCCCCGTCTGATTTCTTTGTCAGCGGTAGCCTGGAGACCTGAATTCTGACCAGCATGTCCACTGGGATTCTGACCTGCAGATCCACAGGCAGCGCCCGAGGAGCCGCTGCTCCAGAAAGACAGCTCTGTTGGTGGGTCCCCGGAGCAAGACGAATCATACACACAGGTTCATCTCCAGAGCGCCACCGTCAGGACAGGCCTGAATCCCCACCGCGGCTTTCCTCTCCCGCGGGCCGCTGGCACAGCCTTGGGGCGTCACTTACAGCCCTGTCCTATTCCAATGTGCTGCTTTCATTGCATCCATTTTCCTTCTTTCCTAGGGTCCAAAATTTTTTTGAAACACCTCCCAACTTGCACGTGTGGAACTCGGACCTTTAGAGGATGGTTTAGCCCCTCCTAAGTGCCCCCTGAGCCTCTGGCTGCAGCTGCAGCTTCCCTGGACCACACACTGCGCAAACCCGCTGGGCTTAGAGACCAGACAGCACCGCTTCATCTCTCAGGGAGCATGAAGTACCACGAAGACTGCCACGGGGACTTAAGGCGTGTGATATACCGAGAGCAGGTGACCCCCTTAGTTCAGCATCGTGCCCGCAACATGAGAATGGAGGGAAGCGCTGACGTCACTGAGTGTTGCCTTCGGAGCCCTGGCCAGCATGAGGCCTGACAGGAGAGCTGTGAGATGACCCAGTGACATATAAAGAGGACGTATAGAAAGACCCATTGGAATCAACCATCGGAGTAAGAGGGTTCGTAAATACCGCCCAAGAAGAAAACTTGAAAAAGCAAGACACCCTAACAGGGCAGCAATACTCCTGGAAAATAAGATGAAAACATGATCCAACTCAGGAGAACCGCAAATACGCAGCTTGACCAGAGGGTCTTAACTGTCACAAACTCAGCAGCAGATGTCCCTTACGTGGCAAATGAAGTTCTGGATAAGCGCGACCGACACGCCTAGCCCAATCTTAAACAGGAAAGCTGAGATTTATTCACTGCCAGTTCTTTGAAAGTAAATTTGTAGGTTTAATATTGTTCAAAATGGTTCCGATGGAGTTATAGTCACAGCATTGGGAAATGATTCTAAGGTTTATGTAGAAGACTAGCAGTTAATGGTTCAATAAAACTTGAAAGAGAATAAGAAAAAAGAACTAGCACTTTTGAGTTTAAGAGTATGTTATTAAAACTGAATAGTCAGAACAAAATATGAGACCCATTCAAGTTTAGAGAATGGGATTAGTGGATCAGAAAAACACAGAAAGGAGACAAATTGTTTATAAGAACATGTTATATGGAAAATAATGTCACAGTCAAGAATTGATTATTCAGTGTATGGCATTTAGCAGTTGGAGAGAAAAAAGAATTTTATGAACTAATCCCTCATCAGACACCAATGAAAGTCAGAGGGGGATTAACGAGTCAGGAAGAGGGAGGGAGAGGAGGAGAAAACAGCGAGCCTTTCCATTTCTGGTGTTAAGGCAGATAAATTAAAACCAAACTCGGCTAATCAAAAGCAAATTCTAAATAAAACATTAGAAAATTCTTCATAATGTAATGAATAACTGACAAAATAATAAGGAACTGCTAGGTAAGAATCTGAACCAGGTATCTGCAGGAAGCGGGGCAGGAAGCTTGCTTTTCCTGGGGCCCAGGCCTGCCTCAGTGGGGCATCCAATTCAGACTGCCATCGCCATCCCTGGACCTACAGAGCCTCACTCTCAGGTGGGACTGAGAGGAAGGAAGGCCATTCCCCCATCCCCAGTGCCAGGGCGCAGAGGGAGACTGGCCTCCATGCCAAGCAAGCTGCGTGTCCCTGGGAAGCTGTACCTTTTCAGGGATTTGTAGCACACTTTCAAAACCCCTTGATTTATGAATTGAGTTTAAAATGCCTTATGGAGGAAAGATGTGAGTCCTCACTAGAATATTCCCTCGGACTGCAAGTGTTTCCAAAGCTGATTTTCTAAGGAAAACGAGTAGTTCACAGTACAAAGTTGAAAGTATACAGGGAATCAAGGAGCCAGCAAAATGAGATCTACCAATACTGCGGATGTTGGAAGTATCAGACATGGATTTTAAAATAACCATACCTACTATGTTTAAAGAAGTACAGGAAAGCTTTAACTTTATTGACGATAGGATGTATTTAAGGTGATCTAGCATGCTTAAAAAAATCAATTTGAGCTTCCTACATGAATAAGCAAATAAATAAAGCAAATAAAGTTAAAAAAACAATAAAAAAAACCCATCTCTCTCCTCCACCCCAAGTGATTAGACACCTCTGAAGAGAAACTAGAGAACTGAAGGATAAACAGAAGGAAATTTCCAGAATACAACTCTGATAGGCAAAAATTGGGAAATACCAAAGAGGAATGAGGAGAGTTCAAGGGCAGAGTAAGAAGTCTTACCATATCTTATCAGAATCCCTGGGAAAACAGAGACTGGAGTCTAATCAATGTACGATGAGATAATGTTGGAGCACTTATGAGAATTGGTGGAAGACACAGATGTAGATACTGGGGACCCACTGAGTCTCAAGAAGGTAAATTAAAGAAAAAAGGAATCCACACAGTCCAACCTCAGTGGGACTGTAGCACCAGGGATGCAGACCATCCGCACACAGGTAAATACAGCAGACAGACTGCACTCAAATGAGCAGAGCACCATGGATCCCAAAGACAGGCTTAATGTATTTAATGTGTTGTGAATAAAGTAACTGTCATGTTAAAATTTTATACCCAGCAAAAATAACTTTCAAGGATGAAGACAAAATAAAAATATTTTAGACAATTTTGGGGGGATGGGTGGGGATTAAACCTAGGGGCATTTAACCACTGAGCCACATCCCCAGACCTTTGTTTCTATTTTTTTATTTTGAGATATGGCCTTGCCAAATTACTGAGGTTGGCTTTAAACTTGCAGTCCTTCTGCCTCAGCCTCCTGAGTTGCTGGAATGACAAGCAGGTGCCACTACGTCCAGCTAAAAGTAGGGATACAGTCTGAAAGATATTTTTCAGCAGAAAGGAATCTCAGATAAGGTCTAATATGCAAGAATGAATAAAGAGGAAAGCAAGAAGAAGGTACATTGGCAAATCTAAACAAATATTACCCCCCCGCCAAATCATAAGACTATACAATTGGCCTAAAACCAAAACAAAAACAAATAAATGTCTACTCAGGTGAATAGATAAACACACCAGAATTTCCAAACAAAAGAATACTACTTACAATGAAAAGGAATGAACTATTAGTATAGATGAATCTCAGAATAATCACACTCAATGAAAGAAGCCAGACCAAAAAGGGGCACATATACTATAATTCAATTTTTATAACATTCTTGAAAATGAGGAGAAAAAAATCTTTAGTGATAGAGCAGACCAGCGGTCATGCCAACTCCCTCCTGTCCTGCTCTGAGGAGTCAGGGGCCCCCATCCAGCAGTTGCCCTCAGCTGCTGCTGTCCCTTAAACAAGCGTGAATGGTAACTAAAGATGACACAATTTTAAGTTAAACATCTGGAAAATTTTTAAACTTCCCTTGGGAGGAGTTCAGTGCCTCTTAAACAATATAAAACCATGTCATTGAAACACTGGGGAATTGGCATATCTACACAGCGGGAAGACCCAGAACCCCGGAACCCCCTCGGGGCATGGGGGCTGGCCTGCAAGGGCACAGGGTGCAGAGTGTGAATCTTGGCCATTTCAGAGAGAAAAATTTTGGTGAAAACCTCTGATCGTGAATGTTTCATGGATTTAGAATCAAAAGCCAGTGATTTTCCATGCTCCACAGTCAGATTGCCCTTACAAAGAATAAATCTGAAATAAAATCTAAACTGCGGCTCCTCCCTTTCAACACTTTCATGTGAATGTAAACATGCAAGGGCAGATTCAAGACCACCTCAGCAGGGAATGGGCAAACCCGCATGGAGGACGCGTCTCTTCCCTGATGGCTGGTTAGTCTAGCCGGGACCGGGGCTGCAGTGGTCAGCCACAGACGGCCAGGGTCCTGTTTGCCCCCTTTGCCCTTGTCTGGGTCCTTCCTGGCTCTGAGGGTCAACACAGGCAGCCAGCAGCATGGGAGGAAGCCTCACATTTTAGCTAAAAATCAGAAAAGATGGGGTGGAGGTCATTTCCTGGCAGATAACATTCCAAACAGTAATTTCAAAAGTAAAATTCCTTTTCAGTCAAGAACAGGGAGGTATAAAGGTATTGGTGGCTTCAGAATTTTCAGAGAACTGTACAATACCTTAAAGTCATCCATAATTGTGCATCATAACTAACTGAAGTGAATTGATAGTCCCTTACATCCCTGTTAACCTGCCAGTCAGCAATGTCGTGCCCTGTGAGGGTCCCTGGCCCTTCTCCCATCCCTGCATCAGTGTTCTCAGGCCTGACATTGCTTTCCCCTGCTCCTGCTCGGGCCATAGTGGGTGTCCTGGAGAGTCATGTCCAAGTCCTGAGCACTCTGTTGCCCTCATATAGCATGTGTGATCGCTGCACATGTGCTTCAACCATTGGAAGTAGCCTTTTCTCCATGGGATTGAAATTGAAATATGAACTGTGATCTGGTTGAAATGGTGAGAAATGTGCAGGGGGCTTCCGCTTGGCATGCCCAGGCTGTGGACATGAGGAAACCCAGGCTGCCCCAAGACCCAGTAGTGCCTTGTGGCACCTGGGTCTCCTTAGCAGGTCTCGCTAACCTCTGGGGCGCTCTGGACGCGGGGTCTCCCATGTGTGTTTGGAAGCAGCCCTGTGCCTCCCAGGGTGCACGAACCTGCCTGCTTTGCCTGGTTAGCAGGTGGGCTTACCTCCCAGGTCCACCCCCCAGCTCCCGGCCTTGGTCCCCTGAATTTCCCCCAGCGGGACATGGTGAATGTGCTGGTGACGGGCCTGGCCAGGGCATCCCACTGGGGATATGCCATCAGGTGTCAGGCAGGAAGAGTCATACCAGGCCAGCACCCACCGTCTAACTCACCTGGTTACCTGGAGCTGCCGAGAGAAACTGGACGCATGACCCTGACAGCTGGTCTTCTCTTTCAGAGGGACGTCCTGAGGTCGGACCTCATTGTCTGCTCTGTGGTGGCCGTCCTCTCCTTTGCAGTCAGTGCCAGCACCGTGTTCCTGTCCTTGAGAGTAGGTGTCCCCTGGGCTCTGGGTGCTTCCTGGCTGCCCCTTCTCCTTGCTGCCTGGGCAGCTGCAGAGCAGAGGGCATGGGGCAGGCAGACAAGCCGGGGAAACAAAGTGCCTGTTGAGAGGATGGTGTCCTGAGCAGTGGTGTTCAGGAGGAGACCTGGTGCCCACCATGACCTCCCTCCCGGCTGGGGAGGGGTTTGGGCTGTGGGTGCCATGATAAGCCTCCTGGAGGCCAGCATGTGCCAGTTAGTGGTGGGACTGCAGCTAGGGACACACCCATGCCGTATTGGGGTGGGGATAGAGCCAGAAGGACTACCGGGTGGGATCTGCAGTGAGCAAAGGTAGAAGCCTGGGTGGACTTCTGGCCCATGGTCTCCCAGTCACTGTCTGTGTAGCACTTGACGTCAGGGGACCTCCCTTCAACAAGGGATTCTGCTGGCTGGGCTTGTCATTGTTCTTCTGTCCTTATAAGCAAACCAAAAATGCGCTCGAGGGCTCCGCTCCCTGGCCTGGCCACTCTGCAGGCCGTTGCTGAGCCCAGAGGCCCTCAGCGCAGGAATCTGTTCCGTGGGATGTGGAAGGAGCTCCAGAGGCTCAAAGCAAGCTGGGAATCGGCTGTGACGTGAGAGGGAGCGGGAAGGACTTGGCCTTGGCTGGTGACTGGTCCGCCTTCCCTCACAGCCCTTTCTCAGCCTCGTCCTGTTCGCGCTGGCGGGTGCCGTGGGGCTCCTAACCCACCACCTGCTCCCTCAGCTCCGCAAACACCACCCCTGGATGTGGATCTCTCATCCCGTGCTCAAAAGCAAGGAGTACCAGCAGCGGGAAGTGAGAGGTCAGTGCACGTCCCTCCTAGCGGGAGGGATGGGGGACACTGACCTGTGAGCGTGCACTTGGCACCACAGGTCTGCACTTGGCATCACGGGTCTACACGTGGCAATGTGGCCAGCGGTGCACAGGGCATGTTTCCCCGCAACCAAGACATGAATGTGGAGCGTGGGCCTTGTAGTGCAGGTTGTCCCCGTGTCCTGGCCACCAGACGGAGACGGTTGAGGCAGGGTGAACTGAAAGTGGCTTTGTTGGAAGGCTCATTGGTCAGTGGTCTTGGGGAGAATTGAGCTGTCCTTCAGACCTGGAGAATGTGCTTCCAGTGCACCCTGGAGCAGTGGCTAGACGGGCCGCAGCACAGACCAACCACTGGCCGTCAGGCCCTGGACCTGGAGTTTCTGGTCACATGCCTGGTCCCCTCGACTGTGTCTATGGCTGACTGACTTAGCAACTCCTGTGGGGGCGCCAGCCTGGTAACCACACCATCAGAGCCGAGGTGAGGAGCACTTCCTGTAGGAAGTCTCTCAGGGATTTCCCCACGAGGTGTCCTGCTCTATGCTTAAATAGAGGCAGAAAGACTGATGCATTCCTTCCCATCTTCTGACGCATCAAAGCCACAGTCCACAGATTATTCTACTCTGTCCAGTGCTGCCCAGTCTGCACAGAACCTTTAGCACCCTGCAGCTTCCTTGTTGTGATGGGAATTAGCCACTGTTCCCTACTCCCAGGTGCAGGTATGTGAGGCTGGCCAGGTCACTGACTCACAGGAAGGTGCCAGGCAGGATTAGCATCAGCAGCCTCAGGGGACTAGGGACACAGAAGGGAAGCAGGGGAGATAATAAAAAAACAATGATGAGGCAGAGGTGAAGCGATGTGGCCTCATGGGCCAGCACAGGGGGCTGCAGGACCAAGGCTCCAATTGCTGTTCCCTCAGATACAAGATTGAGGCTCAGCTGTGAAACGTATTGTTCCGTGTTCTGCGCAAGTTCAGGTGCTACTGGAAGTGGCTTCCAGAGTGGCCTCCTCCATGCCTGTCCCTTTACCTACGCCTGGGCCCCTGCAGTGACCTAACTTCTGTCCACACCTCCACCTGCACCTGCTCCCATGTCTATACCTTGACCCTGACCCAGGGCCGGCCTATACCTTCACCTCTGTCTTATTGACTCCGCATATTTAAAGGCCTTTGCAGGAGGAAGGAGAGCCTGTCCGACTGAAGGAGGAAAACCAGGCAGGTTTGTCTTGGGCTTCCTTTCATGTGGCAGCTCAGGGTGTGGAATTTGATGTGGAAATAGGAGGGGGCTGTTAACCACTCAGGGCCTCACTTTCTCTCTCTCTCCCTGCTGGCACCTTCCCTCTCTTTCTTTTCTTTCTTTCCTGTTTTTTTCTTCCCTAAATATTAAAAAGCTCAATGTATTTATTCATTCATGTAATGTAGTATGTATGGACTGAAGACTGAACCCAGGGCGCTTTTCCACTGAGCTACATCCCGAGCCCTGTTTATTTTTTATTTTGAGACAAGGTCTCACCAAGTTGTTTAGGGCCTCACTAAGTTGCTGAGGCTGGATTTGAATTGTGATCCTCCTGCCTCAGCCTCCCAGGCAGCTGGATCATAGGTGTGTGCCACTGGGTCTGCAAGAGCCCAGTTTAAATTGGACTCCTTTTTTAAGCCTGCTGGACTGTTAAGTGCAAGACTCAAGAACAAGTGGAGTGAGTGTGTTTCTGGGTCTGACTGCCCCTTTCCAAGGGCAGGTGGGTGTGTGGGTGGCTCTGGATAGGTGGTGGAGGTGGAGGTGCTTGCTCACATGGCTCAAGCAGAGGCTGTGGGACCTGTCTCCCTGTCTGTTAGCCATTTACAGGCAGCCTTGAGTCTTGCCAAGGATCCCAGGCTTGACAAATGAGGCACGTAATGAAAAGCAGTTTCTACTTCAAAAGTGTCTGTGTTGGAAGGAAAATCCAAAGGCACAAATCATGAACTATGGCTGTGTTAGGAGCTGTAGGCTGCTACCACCTGCCACCCCCCTTGTCCTGAGCCTCCGGCCCTCTTCCTCGCTTCTCTTCCTTTCTCCCACTGGCCACAGGAGTGCCCAGGAAACTCAGGCTGGTCATGTGACTTTTCCTGTGAAAGCTGTGCCCAGATCTTCTTTTTCATAGGAGTACAGAATACTGTCCCTGGGAAAGAGGAAAGAGCAGGGCAGGGCTGGTGAGTATGTGGCCTGTCTCTGGGCACCAGGACTGGCAGGCGTCACTGCCTGAGAGCAGCGCCCTGGAATTGGGCTAGCAGCAGATATTGCTAGTCGATTGCCATTGGCAAGGAAGGCAGGTGCATGTGCTGCCCACTGTTTTCAATAAGCAGAATGGAAGCCCAGGGAAGTCCAGGGATAGAGCTTAGATCCTGCCAGTTTTGTGGCCAGTGAGTGATTAGCACGCAGGCTGTTGTTGTCTGGTGCTCCTTCTGCTCTGTGTGGTGGGCACACCCTGAATATGACTCCCAGGCTGTTTTGCCACCGTGGTGGCCCAGAAGAGTCATGCAGCTATGCCACAGCAGGTCCTGTGAAGCCTGACAGGGCATTCTGACCCTCCAGGTGCCCTCCCTGGGGGATGCCGACTCCCCTCCGTGTGGCATTTCCCAGACACACAGCACTCTGCCTCTCCCTCTCCCCTCCTTGCTGCTCTTGGAGTGGGATGCTGGCCTCCCGCTGCCCACTGTTCCTGTGGGTCTCTGCCCAAAGCCAGTCCCTGCAGAAGAGCTTCCCTAGCACTCACCCCCGTCCAGCTTCCCATCGCTCCCAGAGTCTTCCTCTGTCCAGTCCAGCACCTGCGGCTGCCATGTCTAAGGGCCTGGTGAGCTCCAGGGCTGCCATGTGCCCAGGCCAGCCCTCCAGAGCCCCTCCATGCCAGTGCAGGCGAGGCCTGTGGTCTGCCTGCCAAACCGCATTTAATCCAAACACATCACTCCACATTCACTGGAACAAGTCTACGCCTGGTGCCTGTCCCCTTTCAGTTCACGTCCCCTTCTGCATGCCCCAGGTGTGTCTTCTCCTTGGTGGAACGTGGGGATGTCAGATCAACTTTATGAAACAGAGCTGAGTGTATCAGCCGGAGCTGACGGCTGTAATCAGGACGTGGTTTCATCTGCTCAGTCCTTGACCTGTGAGGCCTCTCCCCATCCTGATCCCGACCCGTTCTCCACCTCTGTATGGCCATGAGCGGAACACGTCACTGTGATACAGGTCGGCAGCGGGAGGAGCCGCGGGCGATAGCAGTGGTGAGCCTGTGTGGTCACCCCCACGGAGCCAAAGCTGCTGTGTTTCCACCCTCCCCAGGGGACCAGCTGGACCGCGGCTGGAGCCCAACGTGGGATTTGACAGGCCAAGGGCTAGAAGGGCACTCTGTTTAAAAAATAAAGAGAGTTGATTTTCACGAACCTGGAGGAGGATCCAGGCCATGATGTCATGGACTGAGCCGGCTCTAAGAGTAAGATTCTGCCTGTGAGAACCTTCGTTCCACCCCAGAGCTTTCCAGAGGAAGTGCATTCCTTCAAGAAAGGAGCAATGGGGTTAGGCACATGTTCATGTGTCCCCCACAAAGCCTCTGTTAGTGTTGTGATAATCGGCTTCTAAGGCTTCAAGGAAAAGTGAAGTGATCTGAGCTGATGGCCATGCTCCTGCCAGACACCTGGGTTCTGGTGGAGCCGAGAGGGCCCAGGAAGACTGTGTTATTGTATGGCCCGTGCCCGCCGGAAATGCCCATGACCACACTCTCTGTTAATTCAGGAAATAGTCATCGGGTCCCCACCTGATGCCACGCCCTGGGAACAGTGACACAGAATGACCACCTCTATTTCTGGTGTCCAGGAGCTTACTATCCAGTGAACGCCCAGGGGCCTGTGCTGTGGGAGGGCTAGGCTGCTAGGCTCGGGGATGTGAGGCGTGAGGTAGAGACACGGAAGCCTCAGGGACTGGGAGATGCTAGTGGCGGGGGCAGCCTCTTCAGTCCAGTGGAAATGCAAACTGGAAGTCTGTGGAATTGTGTAGCTGAACGTTGGGTTAGTGCCTGGCATCAAGTAGGTATTCAGCAGACATTGGTGGAGTGAACAGATGAGTGACATTGACTTTATAAGTTCTCTGAGGTGGGTCAAAGGACTCAAGTGCACCTGTCTGTGACTCGTACCCAAAAGCTCACTAGTTGCTGAAGTTTGTTACAATTTGGGGTACATTAGAATACATGAATAAAGGATTGAATAGATTATAAAACACCTAAATTGAAATTTTTTATTTAAATTATAAATTTCAAAAATCCACTAATTCACTAGTGAGTCCCAAATTTGTTATTTGGGGTGGGGGGGGACCAGGGATTGAACCAGGGGCACTTGACCACTAAGCCACATCCCCAGCCCTATTTTGTATTTTATTTAGAGACAGGGTCTCACCCAGTTGCTTAGAACCTCACTGTTGCTGAGGCTGGCTTTGAACTTGCGATCCTCCTGCCCCAGTCTCCGAAGCTGCAGGGATTACAGGTGGGGGCCACCATGCCTGACACAGATTTGTAATTCACCAGTGAATTTATTTGCAGTTTAGCAAGTCTTGTCAATCAATTTGCAGAGAGACTGTTTTCTGCATGTGATAAACATGGTTCTGAAAATGCTTTCTCTAATTTTATTTTTAAATTTTCATTTGAAAAGTACCTTAGCTATTTCATCAAAGTGATATATAGCATTAGAAATTAAGTGGAAAGGGCGGGCCTGGTGGCCCATGCCTGTAATCACAGCAGCTCAGGAGGCTGAGGCAGACTGAAGCAAGTTAAAGGCCAACCTCAGCAATTTAGTGAGGCTCTAAGAACTTAGAGTGATCCTGTCTCTAAATTAAAAAAAAAAAAATTAAAAACAAGAAAAGGAAAATGGAACAAGTTATAACAAAAAGCAGCAGATCCCTGTCACCAACTCCTCCATCTGTGCTTCCTCCTCTTCAGCAAGAATCGCTCCCTGCCCTCCAAGTGTCCCTCCTGGCA